CTCGAGAGAGAGAGAGAGAGAGAGAGAGAAAGAGGGGATAGAGAGATAGAAAGGAAAAGAAGGAGAGAGAGGAGAAAAAGGGAGATAGGAGAGGGGGAAAAGAGAGAGAGGGAGAAGAAAAAAAAAAAGAGAAAGAGAGAGGTGGAGAGATCGAGAGCGATGGGATTCATCCATACATACAGATCTATATAATATAGATCACTATGGGTTCACCTCAGCCCCATGACCATTTATTAATTCACTGTTAACTTTGAACTATATAGCAAAAGAACAGAGAGAGAGAGAGAGAGATAGAGAGAAGAGAGAGATAGAGAGAAGAGGAAGAGAGAGAAACCAATTCATCAAATTGCAGTTTATATGATAACTTGGTAGCGAACAAGAGTTATCAAAACCTCGAAAAAAGAAGCAAGCATGACCAATGACTTTCAATTAAAAGTGAGATATCATACTTCTTTTGCTAAATGGGTTCATAAGCGTAATTAGATAAAACTATCAAAAATCTGATCAACAAATTTTGTCTTATGTATTTATTTGGTTAGCTAGTCCTATGTATACCCTTTTCCCCCATTGATGCACATCTCTTCATAAGGGTTGCAGATACAGAACAGTTTTTTTGTAGCTGTTGTTATTGCTCGTTTGTTTGTTTTTCCCATTCATTTTACTTTTCTGTGAACGAGCTTCTTAATCTCTTAGTCATCGACAATAAAGAAAATGACAAAACTGTGCAGTATCCGTAACAAACACTTTCCATACATGGCCTTCAACTCTGCTCGACTTAGGCCTACACGAGACATCTTACTTCACATACACGGAACGTTTCAGAAAGTGCATAACAAGGACTCTCCCAAAAGCAAACACCACTACAAAGGCAATCTCACTTCTAAAACAGTTTGAACTGTGTTTAAGTGGAACGTCAACTTCGATATATGTTCGACATACCAGCACATACAGTAGAGGATAACTCAATTTGTTTGAACACACCCTGCCCAGGGACAAACTGCAATTTGTTGGATCGAACGCCATTATAGACGTTCATTCTTCAAGACAAACATCGATTACACTGGTTTATGCAAAATTTATGCAAAATTTGAAGAGATTAAGTACCCTTAAAAATTCAAATAGTACCGATAGAATACACTCACACAATGAAGTCAACCAAGTCAATACTGGCATATCAGGAAAAAAACAGGGTGCTGTGAAAAATAATTTGTAACTTTGAGATATTTTATTATCAAAATATAAATTTTCACAAAGACGAAAATATAAAATACATGTATACAGTTTCATCCCCCAACATGATTCAATATTAAGGGGGGGGGGGGTAACATTGTCCAAATCAACAAATATTTTCCAGTTAAAAGCCAGACGCATTGGTTAAGTTTGCGTCATGGAGACCTATGGATGAAACCATAGTACAAAATAATTTCAGATTCCAATGCAATTGTTTATATTTGGACACTGCGTTTTGTCTTTAATAGTTCGGTGAAAGCCATACAACCACTATAGGTTCTAGCGATTAATCATTAATCAAATTGATTAAAAAATCTGTCCGCCTTGAAAACATTGGATTCAACAGGCCATCAGATTCCGTAAAAATGTCACAAACTTCTTTTTATCAGTTGATGATGGAATAGATTGGTTTCATACAGGGGTTGTGTAGAAACAAATTTGAAATAAATGTAATTATATTTAGGATGGGTATGTATAATTTAAATTTTCTAAATGATTTTAGTACAGGGAACGCTGAAAATACGTCAGAGTTGCCAATTCGTGTTTGATTGAACTGAACTTTCAAAATTCATAACTTTCTTAGTTTTTATTGGATTTTGCTAAAACTTCCACTGAAGTGACCCTCTCATTTTTCTGCTCCTTTTAAAACTAAATTAAAATTAGGGTGGACTTTCTTTTTAACATACAGTGACTGAACTTTTTGTTTCACAGGGACGGAAAGAGGACCTTATATTTTCCTTGACATAGATAAATAGATGTATTCAGTCTTTGTCTTCCAAGCGTCATTTGAGAGCGTGACCCCACAGGAACACCAAGGTTAACTTCATCTCAGCACTGGAGCTTGGCGGATCTTTAGGACCCAGAATCCCCCCCCCCCCCTCCCTCCCAAAGTAATCCTGCGGGCTCCTGGACCACAGGCGAATCTGGAGAGGAGGACATAATAAAAAGAACCATACAACTTATGAACTGAAAAACTATACATGCTTGAAGACATAACAATGCTCAAAACCAAGGTGAAAGACACGTCTGGCCTCCTTAGTATACCTACTCAAGTTACTATGTGAAATCAGCATCACCTTTCAAAGAATGGACCTCATTCCTTCTGTTTCTACATCTAAAGAGACTTGGTAACATTTTTCAGAAGGGAGAAAATGGTGCTAAGATGGTGACTTCAATGCTAGATGTATAATTAAATATAATCTGAAAGTTTGAGTGATAACTGATAAAAATTGGGAAAAACTGACCTGATCGATTCCTCAATTCTCCCAACTATATTATTACGATTTAATTACATTTTAGGTGAATGTAAATCGTCACAAAGCAATTAATTAGCTATATACCATTTCGGACATTCAAGTGTTAAAAGTTTTTTTAAAGCCTGTCTTTTGTCTTATTTTCATGGAAAAACGAATTTACTGTTAGAATAGAGGGTGTCGCACAGTGACGCCTTCAAAGAAAATAAATATCTTTGCAGTTTGAAATTTTGTCAGGATTGTTTTGCATGTTAGAGGGCGAGTACAGCAGAAGGAATATAATTAGTAACATTTCATACAAAAATTACGCAGTTTTTTAATCAACCTTCAACAATGTTACTGAGTTGCTTTAAGGTTCATATGAAATTATGCCCAATTATAAATGTCATATTTTTTACATGGATGCCTCCTTCAAAACATGTTCACGATAATGTTAGACAAGATTATGTTAAACAGCACCTACAGATTACTCGAGAGCTTGCAGATTGAGCCTAAAATTACAGTGTACATTCCTTTCATAAGAGTTCTGAAGACTACTCTGAAGCAAACAGCTGATCAAGCTGTCCAAAATAAAGCAAGAGTAGCCATAAAGAAAATATCTCTTTAAATTTGTTGTTGTTAAAAAGAGCAAACATTTCAGGTACAGTATAGAAAAATGATCATGTGTTCTTTAGTTTTACGGGCAAGTCATTTTCTTACCAGCCTTTGTCTGTGAAGATCTTCTGCACAGTGCACACATCCGCTTACCAAGGCCATCAGGTTTTCTACTGCATGCCAACCATGGCCTAAAAGGAGGCAAAACGAAAATGGATAGCAAGTTACTACCAATTAAAGCATATACATGTACATTCAAATGGTAACGGTACTGCAAAACCAGGAACTTTTAGTTTTATGTGGAGATTTTTTTTTTGCTCCTTGTTCACCAATTCACCGTTTCTCGCCACAAATTCGGCCATTATTGAAGAAAAAAAATGTTCCTGGTTTTACAGTTTTGTTTAGGTCTTGGGGTATCATTTGGACACGACGTAATGAACACAATAAACACAATATATGCACATACACCTGTACTACTAAGACTGCACAAACTGAACGGCTAACTAGTCGATATCTGGTAACTGATTAAAATTGATCTACATGTATTTATACTATCCAGAAGTTACTGACATAACATCAATCAAATCGAAAAGAATTTGCATGAAACCTACTGGCATAAAAGTCTGCAGTACACCTAGACTACCATAAACATAAAACTAACCTGAACTGTGACCTACAGGGGCTTGATATACACATGTAATGTGTACAGCTCGGCCTCCTGTGGTGGGGTACCTTTCTTGCTACAATAAATCCCTGGCAATAACTATTCCTGGCCTGACGAGAGATGCAACTTAAAATGTAGCACTAGACAACGATCCTTCCATAACAATGCCTTGACTAACTTCTGGATGGCTAGGTGAGACGGCGACTAAAAGGGACTGCTTCTTGCTAAAGAACTCCTGCAAGCTATTTAGATGCTGAAGTACAAGGATTTACTTTAACCTCAAAATTCTTGGCTTGGTAAGAACGGCTATCCTTCACTTGGTTGCTACACTAAGCGATTGTCTGCTAATAAAGTAATCCCTTGGAATATGCGTATCTTCCGTAATACGATGGTATGAATACCAAGTTCAGGAAAGTTAAAATCTGGCGCATATTGACGTAATTCCCTGACCTCTACTAAAAGTATGCTTAATTCAAATACACACTAGAAGTAGAATCATTGAGAATTGAGATAAGAGTGAACCTGTATGGGAATGAAAACATGTATATCACTTTCAGCATGAGGCTAAGGAAAGAGCATGGTAGAAAACAAGATATATAACCCTCTCTCACAAACTCTCACTCATCTATATTTAGACACAAGAAGAAGAAGAAAGTGTTGCATCATCGACTTGTGTGAGAAAAAATGTGTGCAGGAGCATACAATCGAAGCTCTCAATTTCATTATTTTGGGATACTTTTACTTCCATCATATTTTAGAGCATAAAGCATAGACAACATCCATGGGATATACTGTTCTACTATCATTGTGTCGGTTAATAACTTGGTTGATAAGTAAGATGTTTAAAATCTCAGAAAGTTAACAACACAACCTGGAATGCCCTTCTCCTTACAATGCAGTATGAACGTAATAACATGAAAGTCCTTAAATGTCCTAGTTCTTTTTCAGATCACTTTTGTCATAAATTTCTAAACACAGCTTTGGCGTCTTAAACTGAAACAAAACTAAAGGAAAAGGATTCGCGCAAGGCTTTTTCTGCTTTGATTACTCTTGTTCATACGTTTGAAATGACCTCTTTACCTAAAACATGGATAACTCTAGCATTTCAATCACAATGAAGAAAAGGAGAAAAGACAGGCTTCCTCTTCACCCCAGCCCCCCCCCCCACCACCTCAATAAAACTTGTGGAAATTCATTAAACCCTTACTAACCAATTCTACAGAAACTGGGACATGAGACTATAAACTAGAAAGAGAAACTATTTTCCAACTTTTTTTAATTACCAAACATTTAATTAGCACAATAACTCACACTTAAAACACATGATCATCTAAGTGTAACTTAGTAATATGGACATAGAACGATATCTGTAAATAAAAAATATCAAAAAATATCATTGCTTTCAATTGGCCCTCCGTAAAAGAAAGATTACTTCTTTCCTGAAAAGCTTCAAACTTTCTCTCATATCACCATGTTCATTGATGTTTGTTACATATATATATACATTAACAACAATACCAGGAGTTCTTTTCTTTCAAAATTGAATACATGATGTAAAATATTTTACTGATAATTCATTAAAAACATTAGTAAGGTTATTAAAATAGTCAATTAATTAATCACAGAATGGGCAAGTGGGGATGAATTGCTAATCCCATTTTTCAATCAAAAGGACATATCAAGATAACTAACATCACCTTATATAAATGAAGTACATGAACATGTTATAGTAACCCACTAACAATTAATCAACAGTTTTGGGACAGAAAATTCAATATTTACACTGTACAGATCCAAGCATTTCATAGGAAGCTAGGTCCCCTTCTCATTGCTTAGTATAGGCCTTGTCAAAAAGTAAGTTACAAGCATCTGACACTAGGCTGTCATTTGTTTTCTTTAGTTGTAATGTGGATCAAAAGACTGCATCACTCTAAAGGAGATGGAAAATTAAGCTTATGGAAAATACAGACCAATTTTGACCATTTATCTTGAAGATTTTCCTAATTCCCTTGACAAACCATACAGAACTATGAATTTTCTTCTAGCTAAATGAAATAAGTACATGTATTTCGAAAGATGCTCTAACTAACATATAGCATTACATCTTGACTTTGTGATGTCTCTTCTATGACATCACAAAGTTAATGAGTTAATTGAGTTAATTCATCATATCTGCTGACTGTTTGATACTACATTTTAATGAAATTGCTATACTGATGGCCTCCAGAGTTCCCAGCCTAAAGATCAATTCTGGAGTTACATTACATTCCCTTAAAACGAAGAGAGAAGCATTGAAAGATAAAACACTCTGCACACTAACTTGGCAACGGTAGGGGATATATAACCTACTGACATCCTTTAAAACGAAAGCACAGAAAATGAGAAGAACTAAAAGATGACTATCTTCATTGTTATAGTAAATCATATGCTTGGAAGCTGTACAGAGAAGTTGTATCCCTTTACATCTAGGCTTCATTTCTAAGGTCTTGACGTTATCTACATGTATGCTTGTTTTTCCGGCTAAGTGTTATGGTTCCTTGCACAGTGCTAACGGGGATCGTGGTCCTGTCTTGCTTAACTGATGGTGGTAGGGCAGATAGAGTTCTAAAAAGCTAACTGTAAGCTCCTGTTCCTTGCTTGTAAATGGCTGATAACTATCGTTCGTGTGAAGTCATATATTAACGAGAATTCTTCTTTCAGCCTAACTTATGTACATGGGAGCTATCAATATGTGTGTTCCTGTTCCGGGCATCTAGTAGGTGTATCCTCGCTGGCTACCATATAATACAATTGTCTACCTGTGATAAATAGTAAACCATACAATACTTGTAAAACAAAGTAAAAAATTATCATTAATCTATTAATCCATACTCTAACATTAAAAGAATGAAAGAAGAAACAGGTTGAGGACAAGATAGAAAGGAAGGGTAAGGGATAAGAATTGAGATAATGCATGTGATCCAAATTGCAGATACATAAATTCACAAGAAAGAGACACCAAGGACAACAAAAATCAACTGAACATCGAAACAAGATTGGAAACTTTGGCTATATTGAAGTAACATAGAATGACCAAGAACCACCAAACAAATTTTTCATTTTTACCTCCAATTATATTCCCTAAAGCAGGCCTCCCCCCTCATTTTTTAAATTTTAGTAAACGTACAAATGAAATTTCGTAATTCAAAAAGAAGAGGAAAAAAAATCATTTGTATAATCTCTTTCCATACCTTTCCTATAGTATGGATGGATGGACAAGGTCATTTTTTTAAATTGAATTGATATAATCCGCCCCACTTAGAGAAAAATAATGCCTCCGGCACCACCTTCAGTAAGCAGAGTAATGAATATATTATCAGATATGCTGGATAGTTTGTTGTAATCTCCATTGCAAATAAAAAAAGACTGGACGTCCTGGAGAGTGGAGAGGTAGTTGCATCAAGGCAATCTATAAAGTATACCTGCAGATTGTGAGTGCATCCAGGCTCCTTGGTAAAACATTGATACCCTCAGGCTATACCAAGTAAAATATGGCCTTCCAACATGAAAGTGGGATTTCAGGGGAATTAAAAAGATTCTGTGATGGTTCCCTAATATGGGATCCCTTGATATTTTTTTCACAACTTGCTCATGCTTGATATTAGCACTTTGTGTGTTCTGCATTGACTGGAAACATGACTGCATCACTGACTAACCAGTCTCATCATCTCAGGCATAGACTCTCACTCAATGAGATATAAAATGTAGGGACTGGCTGGGGGCATCTGGTATTTGTCTTACCACTTAAAATCTCTTTCCATAGCCACCGCCGCCGCCGCCGCCACCTCCGTAGCCGCTATTGCCTCCACCGTAACCGCCGCCGCCTTGTCCGCCACCGTAACCACCACCGCCTTGGTATCCTCCGCCTGCTCCACCCCCGTAGCCCTGGGGTCCACCCTGTCCACCTCCATTGTACGAACCACCTGTAAGAGAGCAATCAGGATTTAGAATTACAAGGAATACATGAAATACAATTTTTCACATATCAGAGTCGCATTGCCTAAGTTACTCTAAACTCTGGTACCCCAAAGAAATCTCAAGGCTTTCAGGTATTTTGTTTAGTTCCACTGTTGAAACGGTGTGGTCTGTCAGAGTGACGAGGGCATTAGTCTAACAGTAATGGACATGACGATTGATTGCCTGTATCATTGCTTATTTTCTAAATCATCTAATACTATCTCATTCTCTAATGATATATTGCCTTTCCCACTAATCTTAATTCATTTCGGGCAGACATCCTTCTGCGACAAATTGACTGCCTATTGGACAATCATGGAGAATGAGTCAAAAAGATAATTTCCCTTCAGATTAGTCAAATTTGTATCATTACAACTGATTACTTAAGGGTGCTTTACTGATAATCAAGAGATTTCTATCACCATTATTACTTGAATAAGGCCCTTGGTTGCGCCCTCCTCCTCCTCCACTGCCGCCGCCACCTCCTCTCACTGGTCCATAGTTGGAGTTCTGCCCTCCATAGTTGGAACCAAAGTCACTGAAATTGCCTGGACAAGAAAGAAAGGAATAGCTTTCTTCCACTAACTTTGTCAAACTACTGGTGCTGGGACAGCCGATTTCAAGACAGTCATGGACTTTGAAGTCGTGTGATATAACAATGACCCTTATACTCATTCTCCATTTACCAATACCATCTGATATCATATGCTGTTCAGGGTACATTTTTGGGATTCAGTGAGGCTCTAAGGTGATCATATTTCCATTTCGATTCAAATTTTTTAAAAATTCCCAGACAAAATAGATGGATAGATAAAGAGTATTAAGGACTGAATACTAACCACCGCCGCCGCCACTGTAGCCACCACCACCGCCGTATCCGCCACCACCTCCGTAACCTCCTTGTCCTCCTCCATATCCCTGATTATAGCCACCTCCTCCTCCACCACCATAACCACCCTGGTAATCTGGGTAAAAGAATATGCAAGTCAATACACAACACAAATTTATGCAAATTTATATTGATTCCACTGATAAAAACAAATAAACAATTTAAACATGTTACATGTAAAATAATATAGCACCATGTATATCTTGTCCTGTACCCAACACGCACAACCATATCCTTCCTCTCCTCCATAACTGCCAACCTGCTCCCTCTGTAATCCTCCCCTTGCAGCAACCCAGTCCCAAACTTCAATCCAAACCCTTACCTCCTCCTCCTCCGCCATATCCTCCTCCTCCATAGCCGCCGCCGCCTCCTTGTCCCCCTCTGTAGCCGCCTCCTTGTCCGCCGTAACCACCACCTGTATGAAAACCAAATATTAGAAATGTCATAGATAAGAATAAGAGCAATAACCATGCACTTTGAAGGCATTTGCGGTCTGAAAACAGAACTCAACTATCCCTTTAACATTGTAGAGTAGGGAGAGGACATTCCTGATAAATTACTAGATTTGTTGAATCATCAAATAACAGGCATCTTATTAACTATCACAAACTATTTAGTTAGCCATACAGCGTCAATCAATGTGAAGTTTACAGCATTAAATGCCTAAACCTAGAAATAATCGACTTTAATTCCTTGAGATACATCAGTCACAGCTTTACTATAACTATTACTATTTAGCCCACCAAACTGGTCCATGTGTATTGTAACCGGAAAATATTACTCCTTGAAAATCTAAATCGGCAATGGAAAGTAAGTTAAAAAACATTCTCTTAAAAAAAAAACCCTAATTGAAGAAAAAATGTATGATGGTTGTACCTTGCTGTTGTTCTCTCATCTTCATATCCCTCATCTCTTCTTTGGAATATGCCTTCTTGCCTTCAACCTTCTTTCCATTGATATGGTGGAACTTCTTCACTGAAAACACAAAATATTAAAAAAAATTAATTCATTGTCAGATCTAAATTGAGATATAATCAAGAATTGCAACAAATATGTACAGAACTAAATCTACAAGGGCGCTATTCAAATATTTCAAAAATTCATTGTTTAAATTTTGTACGCACAATTGGGGGAGTATCAAGCATTAGTTGTTTTGAAAGAAATTTTTGATTTGTTTCTAAATGCTTTTAACCTTTTAGAGAACTTGTACTTAAACAATGACATGACAGCTCACCATGTAAATAATGAAATTGTCAGAATTTTTGTCCCTGATATCTACAGTAACAAAGAATTTCTAAACTACTTACTGACGATCTGATCTACACAGTCTGTATCATCGTAGGTGATGAAACTAAATCCTTTGCTCAGGTGCAACGCCAGCTCAACAATTTGACCAAATTGACTAAAGTACGCACGCAGCTCTTCCTCCGTAGTTTCTTTTGGGATACCACCCACAAAGCACTTGAAGGAGGGATTCTTGGGGCCCTTCTCCTAAATGGGTCAATAAAATAGTGAAATTGTGTGAGAGATGAGCTTGGCACAGAAATCCTCTGATAAGCGTTAATAGAAATATGATTGGACGGGCCCTCATGGAGAACAGTGTTAATACTGATGAGGCTACCCTTGGTAAACAAGACATATTAATCATCAATAGCGGCACGATTACTCCACAAATTGATGCCATTTACATTTGTATACTGTAGCAAATATGTCACATTCTGTCAGACTTTATTACTATAATAGATTGGCTTCCTTCTAACCTGCACAAAAATCTAAATTAGTAGTTCTTAGCAGTGAGTGTATATGTGTGTGTGTGTGTGTAATTACGATTTCAGACATGGATCAATTAGTCTGTGTACAGACCTATAGACCCAAATTCACAAAGGAGTTTTCAACAAACCTTGGTTTTTATGCGTCATGTGACGCGTTTTGACGCGTTTTTACAAACCACGTTAGTAAAAAACGCGTCATATGACATACAAAGATCAAGGTTTGTCGACAAACCTCCTTTGTGAATTCGGGCCATAATGTCAGTTTGTAAATGAATACAAAGAGCTGACCGTACCATGGACATCACATTATAGAATTCCAATACTATAATCTAGCTGCAAGATATATACAGATGTAGATCCTGTTAATGACGGTTGGAATAACTTACATCCCTTGCCATAGCTCTCCTCACATCAACGGCCCTGTTGTCAAGCCGATGAGGATTCTCTTTCCTTGCTCCCATAACTTTGTTCACTTCCTTACGGCTGGCGAAGGTGACAAATCCAAAACCTTTGGACTTCAGTGAAGTGGGGCTGAACAAACAGAAAGGGTGTTGTGAAATTTATTGTAATATACTGCAATTAGTGAAAACACATCTGTCCTACACCTTTTTTTCGCACATGCTTTTGCATATCAAGCTTACCATTTAGTCATAAGAAATTCTCTGTACATGTACTTTATCCTACAAATCCTGAACTGAACCTACATCTATAGTAGTGGAAAGAAATACATGTTAATGTAGGGTCAGAGCGCCTTAGACAAAAACTGCCCCAACACTTAGAAGAAAAAAAAATTATCATTCACTCTTGAAAATGTATGCATATTACTTTAATATTTACAGTGTACATGTGTAAGCTCAACTACATGTACAGGGTAAGGGACATCCTTGCAATAGTAAAACCATAACCTTTGTACAGTTGCATCTTTCATTTGGCTCTTCTGAAAGGCTGCCAGTAAGGGTACATTTTCCTTTACAATGACAGATTGTAACAAATTCTCACTCTTCTCTTGTCGAAAAGAGAATTAGGTACCTGTAGGTGGTAGACCTTCAGTGTACATCTAGAGGGAAAACAGACATACACTGAACATTGATTTTAAAAGCAAGATCGTATTCTGCTCATGAACTACTTACTCTTTGATGACACAGCAGTCAACAATTTCTCCAAACTGGCCAAAATATTCTTTGATGTTGTCTTCTTTTGTGTTGTAGCTCAGCCCACCAAGAAAGAGCTTCCTTTCCTGTTCTGGCTCTTTATACTGTTTGCACAAATAAAAATACCATGTGACAATTGTTAATGGTATGAGTCTAACAACAGGTTCGGGTTAATTCAACCCTTGTTGTAATGAGTTCATTTGTATGAAAGCAGACAAATAAGATCAACAGAATGGCAAAAGTTTGGAATAGATCGTACCAATATTAAAGAAGAAAATTATGAATTTATAAAATATATACCGGTAATCACCAAGTCGATACAAAACTCAAATTGGCATTTTTTTTCTTACAGGTGCCTTCTCCCTTGGGGCATTACTCAAAATATAATATTTAGAGTCATACATTTTAGAAAATCTAAGTCAAATTTTAGTCACTTTGGGTATTGGAACAAATTGAAAAGTTGTTGACCCTACCATCATGCAGTATAGTCTACACGTATCACCAAGACATTACAGATTCAGCCGACTTGAAGAGCCCATAGCCATACCTAAACGTATTATTATAGTGATTACAACTTTCAAAATGTCATAATTCTCATTTTTTAGTCCAATTTTTGTCATACTTTTCTACGGCCAATGCCAGCAGCCTTGCAAATGGGCAAAAGTGACAGCCTTTTTTTTAAAAGACTCGGCATCCAGACACACAACCATCGTTATTAGCCTCCCATTGGCCTATCCAGGCACGTAGCTAGAGTTTGATGTTTGGGGGGGGGGGGCACATACATTACATCATGTAATCGATCGACGCCCTGGCGAGGGGTCTAAAAAAGTTCAACCGATCCTGGAAATTTTTTTGGGGGGGGTCATGTCATTATCATATTATTTTAATTGTTATTAAATTAGGTTCGAAGACTAACTGTGAGACATTAATATTTTTAGTTTACCTCTCACGTAGAACTTTACGCGTTGAGCGCTGTACAGTGCGTGTGAGTTTACGCGCTCCCATTGGCCTATTCAGGCACGTAGCCAGAGTTTGATGTTTGGGGGGGGGGGGGGGGCACATACATCATGTAATTGATTGACGTCCTGGGGAGAGGTCTAAAAAAGTTCAACCGATCTTGGAAATTTTTGCCATTTTCGGGGGGCATGTTATTATCATATTATTACATCGTTATTATATTAGACATTAATATAGTATTGTCAGTACAATGAATAGCTTTTCACCTGTCGACCACGCCACAAAATAATGAACATTCCGTATAGGCTATAAAATATGCACCTTCAACTTCATGACAGGACTCACTGCACTCAGTCTCAGGAGGGCATTCCCTTCCTAACATAACATTCCCAAAACTATGTCGAGATAAATACAAACTTCCGGTTGTGTTTAAGGATATAGTGATACAAGACAGACATTTGTAAACTTACAGTTTCATTTCCGTCAGAGTCCAGCATCTTTCAAAATAAAAAATAAATAAAACTAAGTCTAACTTAAGACAAAGAATTCTGCATAGCCCAAGCCTCATCGCTCATATCGGACTCAACATTCCTAAACTAGACCTAGATTCTAAAGAAAAACTTCCCGTCGGCCGTCTTCAGGTCTTTGTTTAAAGTTATAACTTAAAGTGATCAACCATATTAATACAAGATAGACATTTGTAAACTTAAATTTCCCTCCGACATCTTTCAAAATAACAAAATAAATAAAACTAAGACAAAGAAATCTGCACAAGCCTCATCGCTCAGATCGGACTCAACATTCCTAATCTAGATTCTGAAGAAAAACTTCCCGTCTTCAGGTCTTTGTTTAAAGTTATAACTTAAAGTGATCAACCATATTAATGCAAGATAGACATTGGTAAACTTACATTTTCCTCCGACATCTTTCAAAATAACAAAATAAATAAAACTAAGACAAAGAAATCTTCACAAGCCCGGTCCCTCAGAGTCAGACGTTCAAATCCTCGATTCTGGTCTTGTGTGCGTTCAAAAGTCTATGAGACAACAACGCATTGCAATTGCACGCACAAAAGCCTAGCCTAGCCTAGCCCCACGCTGTAAACTTTGTCTGTACGTTACACTGCGCAGCTTTTTACGCAGGGTTTAAATGTCATTCGTGTCACGTGATTGAGGTCGCGCGCAAGATATTCTATGATTAGTCTGCAAACACAGACTCCTTCTTGACATTGCTTCTCGTCCTTGATCTGGGGAGTATATTTTACCAATGGCGCTGTGTGAGCGCTATTCTTTAATTTGTTCACGAAAATAGGCGCCGGAAGTGATTGGGGCAGGGGTCCACTCCCCCCCCCCCCCCTGCCTGAGTACGCGCCTGCACGCATATCGTGGAAACATTGTGCGAGGATGGAAAAGCGTGTGTGTGTTTTTTTATTATATAGCGGTGAGAATTAAATGATAGCCCCTGAACACTAGCGTACTGATGGAGGGGGATTGGGGGCATCATGTTGGGCAGTTGCCCCAGAAAATGGTGCTAGGTGGACAATTTAAGATAATCTGAAAGTTTGAGTGAAAACAGACCATTATGATAAAAATTTGTAAAAATTGATCTGATCGATACCTTAATTCTCCCAACACTAATATGACAATTTAATTATATTTTAGGTGAATTAAAATCGTCACCGTAAAGCAATGAACATACCATTCCAGACATTTAAGTGTTGTAAAATTGTTATAAGCCTGTCTTTTATCTTATTTTCACGGGAAACGGTTGGTAAAATTCGAAAATGGTTGGAAGAATTTACTGTTGATCACTGTTGTAGGGTGTCGCACAGTGACGCCTTCTTAGAAAACCATTAATATCTTTGTGGTTTGAGAATTTTTTCATGATTGTTTGCATGTTAGAGGGTAAACACAATTAGAAGGAAGATAATAAGTAACATTTCATACAGAAATTACGCAATTTTGTAATCAACCTTCAACAATGTAATTAACCGAGTCTCTTTAAAGAGAAAGAGAAAAAAAGAATGAGTGGCCTGCTAGTGTCAAAAATGAGGTATCAAAATATGCTCAACTGACTGTAACTTAAATGCCTAAAACCCCTGAGCGTGGGACCCCACCAAGGACCCTAAGGCGGGCCCCGGCTAGGATGCTCATCTGACCGTGATTAAATACCTAAAACCCCTGAGCTTCCCGGGGCTCTGCTCTCTGGACCCCGTGAAAGAGCCCTAAGGCACCTGGATGCATGATGACCAGGCGCGGATCCAGGGGTGAGCCCACCCGCCCCCCCCCCCCCTGGAAAAAAAAGAGAGAGAGAGAGAAGGAAAAGAAGGAAAAGAAAGAAGAGGAAGAAGAAAAGAAAAGGGGGAAAAAAAAAAGGTATTACCTCCTCCCCCCCCCCCCCCATCAAAAAATAAAAGAGAAGGAAGGAAAGGGAAAGAAAAAAGGAAAAGAGGAGATAAAGGGATGGAAAAAAAGAGGAAGAAGAAAAGAAAAGAATGGGGATATCAGTTGCAATTTCCCCGCCAATTCGGGGGGGGGGGGTGGGTGAGCAAAAGGCCCTTGCCCCCCCCCCCCAAAAAAAAACAAAAACAACAAAAAACAAAAACAAAAACAAATACAAAAAACAATAAAAACAAAAGGAGGGAAGGAAGGGAAAGGGAAAGAGGAGAACTAAAAGGGAACAAAAAAGAGGAAGAAGAAAAGAAAATAAGTGTAAAGAAGGGGAAACAGTTGCGATTGCAATTGCGATTGCGTTTGTTGGAAAATGGCAAATTCCTTAAGAAAGAAAAAAAGAGTAGTAACCTGCCTTGGTCACAAAATAATGTGGTGTCAAAATGTGCTCATCTGACCGTGATTAAATGCCTAAAACCCCCGAGCTTCCGGGTGCTCCGCTCCCTGGACCCCTCCTAGGGCCCTAAGGCGGACCCCTGGATGCTAATCTGACGGTAATTCAATGCTTAAAACCCCTGAGCTTCTTGGGGCTCCACCCCTGGACCCCACACCAATTTGTGTCCTGCCAGTGTCACAAATAAGGTATCAAAATATGATCATCTGACCGTAATTTATTGCTCAAAAACCCCCGAGCTTCCGCCCCCTGAACCCCACGCCAGTTCGTGACCTGCTAGTGTCACAATTAAGGTATCAAAATATGCTTATCTGAACTAATTTAATGTATAAAAGCACTGAGCTACTGGGGGCTCTGTCCCCTGGACCCCTCACTAATGTGTGTTCTTGTACCAAAAATATGCTCATCTGACCGTAACGAATGGCCCTAAGGCGGGCTCCTGGTTGCTCATCTGACCGTGATCTATTGCCTAAAGCCCATGTGCCTCCGCCCCCCCCCCCCTGGTCCCCACGCCAATTCGTGACCTGCCAGTGTCACAAATAAGGTACCAAAATATGCTCATCTGACGGTAATTTAATGTACAAAAACCCCTGACCTTCTAGGGGCTCTGCCCCTGCACCCCATACCATTTTGTGTCCTGCCAGTGTCACAAATAAGGAACCAAAATTCTCATCTGACCGTAATTAAATTCCTATACTCCTGAGCTTCTGAGGGCTCCACCCCTTGACCCCCGCCGGGTCTTGGCCCCTAGACCCTATGCCAATTTATACTATGCTCTACCTGATCGTAAATACTACCACCCCCCCCCCCCACACCTACTTAGAGAAACGATCAGGGGGGCCTGCATAGAATAGTGGGGGTGATGCAGATTTTGTTGTTGTCCCCCCCCCCCCCCCCCCTCCCTAAAAAAAAAAAAAAAAATGTTTTTGCTCATTTCGCCACTGCCAGTGTCACTATTACGGTTAAAAAACTATTTTGTTTCACCAACACCTTTTTGTCTATAAAAACAAAAATGTAATTCCATTTTCATTCGACTTCATTATAGTGAGGCTTTTTTCCGTCAATTGATCCAGCCAAACGACTGCAAACTACCTGTCTATACCAATAGCCATGGGACCAAAATCAACAACTAAGGAATGAAGAGGGAGAAATGCATTTGAGACATAGAAAGCTTTTTATTTTATAAAATCCACAATACCGATAGTCGATGAGATCCTACAGCTCACGAGATGACAAAAATATTGCTCACGAGAGTCCTCCAATAATTAGCTAGAAGGCCACCGGTCTTGTGGGATGTAGCCCATTTTCAAACTTTTGACTATGTAACTTCATCCATTTACTAAATCAATTTTGATCAGGCATCTCAATTACCAAACACAATAGAATACATGTATCATGCAAAAACTTTCAATAAATTATCTTTTTAAAAAATCAAAGAAGGGTTTTGTCATCCCAAATTTCGTCGCTAATCTGACTACAAGGCTTCAGTCACTAACAAATGTATAACAAAGGAAATAACACAAGGCATTTAATTGTTTTACCACAGTGAGTTTAATGTAGTACTAAATCACACAATCAGATTCTCTGAAGGTTTTCAAAACCAGAGACATCAGATGCTGTTATAAAAAAGAAGTAATAAATCAATAGATAAATACAAAGAAATTGATGAATGGGTAACAGAAGTCTCCTGCATCTGGACTTTTTTTTCTCCAGGAAGCTAAAGAGGATGTCTAGTTACGAGAAGAAGAAAAAAAAGAACATGGTCATCGTACACATACATATATATGCCGTGGGTTATGGGGGAGGGGGGGGGGGGGGGGACAAGAAAAATGAAAATCTATATAGGTAAATGAGACAGATTAGAAAAACGTAATACTTTGTTCAAAACACCCACTGCAGCTTATTTATAACTTACAGATTTTGGACAATGATTTGAAATATTTGCTGGCACAGAGCAGCATAAAAATGTTAACCAGTAATTAGAGGAGAACATGTCATTTTTCAAAAACAAAACTTAGTCCCATGAATTCCATTTGGAACATTCTACAAAAGTCATCAAGAAGCTTCATTACTTTGGAAAAGACATGAGGAAAGTGTTAATTTATACTTTGTAGGAGCTTTCAAGACTGTCTCTCTCTCTTCACTGTTTTTTTCTCCTAATGCCGACATTTATTTTGTAATTCTTCTCAAATAAAATAAAATATAAAATGTATAAACTAGTAAATGCAAGTCTATGATGCAAAGAAAGCATGGTATACATGTATTTAGTTACTTCTGGAAATGTAGAACACTGCACCGTATTCTGTAACCCCCATGTCACACCGACTTGAATGATGAAATAAATGATTCAAGAAACAAATGTAAGGCTTGTATTCTAATTCCAACACAATTCTCACTGCTTAATTTCACAATGTATATTACATACCCATGGCATTTTTTAATAGAAAAAACATACATGTACATCAAAAATTAGGGCCAATTTTATCCCAAGTCCTGAAGAAGTTTGTACGATTCCAATTTAATTTGTCTGGTTTAGGAATACATGTTCTTGAAACAGGTTCCATTTCAATGGAGATATGTATTATTAATTTAACTGTAGAGATTTGTAGAGGCTTTGGGCCATTTGAATTACTAATTTTGTCAATATTAATTGATCATGTCAGATTTTCAGGACATTCAAAAGGTAAATCCACCAAAGAACTGCAATAAGATGATTGGCTAATACTTTTCCACAAGAAGTTTGTATATTACGTCTTCCACCAAGAGAAGTATCTGAATATCGCTTTGAAATTGAATGATATGATTGCGGAGACGGACGTGTTCAGGGTAAGTGTATGGCCCCCACAGGGGTATCCCTCCCCCTCCCACTCCAAGCCCTCCCTACACCCTTCATCATTTCACTCTATGGAATCTTGTATGGATAGAATGGATGTTGGAACACATGGTGCTTCAGGTTCCGGTTACTGCGCCCCCTACGTCTCATCTTCCCCTCTTACTGTTCCACCGGTGCTAAGTCATCGTGAGACTCTGTTAAAAACAAATGAAAGAAAGCCAGTGAGTATAAACTGCTATCTACAGTATTACATGGTGAACAATTACACTTAAAGTCATGCTGATTACTATTTTTTTTACTTTGGGAAAGGTATCAAAAAGTGTTCAACGTTTATTCTATTATTTGATAAAGAAAACCAACCCTTATTTTTGTTTTCACATATTTCTGACAGGTTCACCATTTTGAAGGCTTATAAATAAGCAATTAAACATTGAAGCCACAGATACTGGATGGGGCGAACTTTCTTGAAACCGCCATAAGTCTAACTTCTTGACTGTCCCATTGAAACGTGTGTTATAGAATTCACACGTTTCAATGGGATAGTCAAGAAGTTAGACTTTCGAGAAACGGGCCCCTGGCCTCTTACGTAGATCTTGTTTGTGCTTTGCACAGCTTCATCACTTTCTAAGGTTATTCTTGGAAGCTTTCCATCTAAATTCCTATTACAGTTGGATGTTGATCAATAAAACATAAAATTAAAGATGTGCATAATTTTGCCGAATAATCTGGCTAACTATTGCTATTGCAATGTCAAATGGGCCAACAACAACTTTACAGTGTCAGTCATTTGCAATATGTTTTAAAGTCTACATCCACATGCCTGTACACCCAGTCAATAACCAATAATACATAACAATTCAAACCACCCCCCCCCCCTTCCCCAAGAAAAAACCCACATTCATTAATTTTCAGAATCACCCTTGATATATAGTAAGGGTACTACAGCCCTCGATAAAACCAAGACATACTCCTCATTAAAGTCAATACTCACCATTATTGCATTTACTATGTCATTGTTGTTGTCTTGCAATGCCACCACTGCCTTTTTCCGCGTCACACCTGCTTGTTGCATGACTAATTCAATGTCTTTAGGTTCAATGTTGCTTGCGTCAATCTGCCATGAAAAGTACAAAGCATTCAATAATCAGTTTTGTTTTTCAGATATAACTGAAGACCCCTTGAGCCTCCTCGGTCTTTATTCACTACTCTTACTCATATCGACATAAGATATTTTCATAATTAATATTAAGTTGTAAAGTAAATAAGAATTGTCAAAACAGATACCATAATTTTTTCATTAACAATGATTTTGATCACTAAAAACTGTTCTTCATTTAAGTCTATAATATGAATTAAGAATACAAATGGAGGGTAGAACAAGACAAATTCTCAATCCCTGAAGTAACGAGGTTGCAAGCATCAGATACTTTATAACATTGTTTTATTTTTCTGAAATATTTGCTGACCCAGATTTATAATTTTCTGCCTCAACCAAAGCAAGGAATAACTATGGACTATTTTGCATTATATACATCACTTTAGAAATCCAGCCATTCTATTGGTCGAAATTGGAGACGTGATTTTAGCCATTCCCGTGAAGAAACGTAAAATGCCAATAACAGTTAATAGTCCAAGAGTGAGATCCCTCAAAATTCTGGTTACCATGAAAATAGTAAAATTTTGCTGTGATACCCATTGGTTTACGTGTTAAAATTGTCTTTGTGCGAGCGCGGACACCATTCAGTGCTTTTTTCTGCGATTCCCAAATGATTGAAAATTTTAGTCATTATTCAAGTTAAGATTAACAGACAGTGTCTCAGGTTTTCCATGATGTTTTAACCAATCTTTACTCAATAAAAAGATAAGGTAAGAATTCTTGGTAGATTTTTGTTTTAATTCGGCATATAACAGACATATCGACTGCTTTAATATTCAAGGTCTGGCTGCTTTATATGCTCTCGGGAACTAGCAGATCCTGCTATTACCCCTCGGCGCGCCGTCCCATCCAGCGCACCTCAGGGTAATGGCTGGATCTGAGCGTTCCCTTGAGCATATAAAACAGCCAGGCCTCTCAAAGCAGTCGATATCTCTATAATATTATATCTACCGTTATCTATGGATATGGATATGATCTAAATATATTTATTCCCGGTTGTTGAGTTCAGTTGACACACCATGGGTTCAACACTTACCTCCTCTCCATCATCACCATCACTTTCTTCTGCTGCGGGTTGTTCACTGGCTGCTGCCTTCTCAGAAGCGGCTGGTGTCTTCTGTGGAGCTCTGAACTGCTCTGCTGCCTGTGTCTGGGCTTGCTGACTCAAGTCTTCAATCTGAAGGTTCAATGGACATAGTCAGTGCATGAGTCATGGGACAATCATGGGACATGCGTCGAATGTCCAATGAACCCAAAAATGTTTGTAGATATTTACGTAAGGAACAAGATGGTATAATTAGTTTTTTCCTAATATGCAAATTGTTGTTGTTATAGCCTAATTAATTATACAAAATGCTAATTTTATGCATTTTACAGAAAACTCTACAAATTTGTCTGTAGATTTGTGAAGAATCTTGAAAATGTATTGAATAAATGTTTCTTTCATCTCAAATTCATGAGGTTTCATTATTTTTATATTTGAAAATGCATAGGTTAATTTGCATAAATTATGAATACGCAAATTACGCATTCATGAATATCAAATCTGGAAATATACAGGGAAATAGAATCATAACAAAAATTGTCAGATTCCACTTTTTGAACGTTCAAACTCATTATTCATATGAAACTTCTTTTCTAACACAAAATAGTTATTTTGATGTAATTAATAATGATAATTTATGCAAATTTGATGCAAATTTCAAATATTTATTTTCTTATGAATTTTTTATTTTTTTTATTTCTTATTATATCTATTATTTTATTTCTAATGTTCTTTTGTTCTGGAATATATCAAGTTACTTTGAGAAACATAAAACAATTTGATATCAATTCATATCTCCCACTTAGGAAGAAATACATCTAAACCTGTATTCACATTTCTGCTTGTACATGAATATATGCAATTATAGCACTTTTTGATGACATGTGCATACTAATTGTTATGTAACACCTTACAGGTATATCTGATTTCGACGAAAATGGTATCAAAATGTGCGTAAGACTTCAGGGAAAAGGGTCATGACAAATTCCAAGCGGTTGTGGTGCAATCTCCGAAAATGTCGAGGGGGGGGGGGGGCCTCCCAGGCCCCCCCCCCCCAGTACAGTAAGGGTTAATAGCTTAGCACAAGGCACATCAACTTGGCTCCAATAACTGAACGTCCCTGTTACGACTATACTGCTCTACCACTGAGCAATCCTCTAATTTAACACAAATCCTCTTTTTTTCCCACCCTTTTTTCCCCCCTTCGGAGACTGTTTTACAAGATACAAGTGCATGGAATATAACTGTTCCCATTTGGAAGATTGTGATTACATATCCATCTGACAGCGCAAATTCAAAAAGAAAACAGAAGAAGTTTCATCCTTTAAATTGATAAATCAGTCCTTGAGTCCTAGATACTGACCTTTGCCTCACCAAATACAATGTATGTATCTGAAGCGGGACTTTTGAAGACCTCCGGCCTTTGGATCACAAACAAAATGTTTTTTGATTTACGTATCGTTACTCTCTGTACACCTGCACATCATAGAAAGAGAAAGATAGAGAGATGTGAGAAAAGAGATTGTTGTCAGTGACACTTGAATAAAACAAACAAAAATACATTTTATAGATTCCTATTCATACAAGGTGATTTGCAAACTGAGCAATTTTTATCAAGCAATTATATGTACTTAATACAGAAAAAGTTGTTTGAAAAAAAAAACAAGAATGCTAACATGCAAATCTGTTTTAATGCAGATTTTCTTCTGTAGCTACTCAGGATAAGGAAGGATTTTTATTTTTACAGAAACAAGTGGTAGGATTAGACTGTTGTTTGCTACATACAACAGTGTTAGACTTGCAACAACTAGACATCAATCTATAGGCAGTTGAACAACACTAGCTTCTGTGACAGTGCTCTGTCTGAATTTCCTACCCCCAATCAAATTCTCAACTTCGGCCCTTGACCCAATATTATACCAAACTCTATACCTTGGGCGATATAAAGCCAGAGCAATTGTCGACAAAGCAAAGGCTGGTGTTACCATTAGGCAGCTTCATAGACTTTTTCAGTACTAACTGGTAAGTGTTACATGTGGGCGAACAGTGTTGCTGGTAGAGACTTCGTACTCTGTACACGAGGACATCTATGCATATAAAATCAGAATGGGATTATAAACTGAAAATGTCGTGCTGACCTGCGATAGCCTTGAGACCCAATTTTGATATTGCCTTCCTTGCTTTCTTCTCACTCCTGCTCTGCCTTGCCTTGCTGCTTGGCTCCTCTCCTGATCCAAACTGTGCATGTAAGTCGGCCTGCTCCGAGGAGACGGGAGCGTCCTGATCCATCTCATGTGTGGAATCCTCGCTGTCGGTCTCTGACCCTGAGGAGTCGGCGGCTGGATAGAATTAAAGGCATCGTTTAGCAATGTTAAATCTGAGATACATGGCCCTACGTGTTATCAGTGTCTGTGATATGGTGTAATATTGAAGCCTTAAACAAATTGCGCTTCAAAATGATCAAGAAGTGCCTCAAGGTGCCCCAATAGACTGTAGTGTTATGGAAACCGTTAGGAAAGCGCAAAATTTGATTTTGATTTCCAATCATAAATACCTTGAAAATCAGACAGGCAATCGGCTTGTGAAAGTCATGAGGTTCCTGACTGACCTGAAGGTTTATAATTATCATTGCAGCCTGAGCTAAATCCAGGATTTTGTTTCAGAATCTAAGACAAAGTTACCCAATCCTTAAGATTCACTAAGATGTCAGAATCCTTGGATATACATCAAGGTGAACAAATCTTAATCTTCATCTTAAATATATATGCAAAGACAACCTTTCAAAACCTGCCACTATAATCATTTCTCTTCAAATATTTCTGTGCTAGTCGCCCCTGACTCCTTATGAATCTGTTAGATTTTGAATCTTTGCTACACCAATAGGAATGCATGAATTCTCTCCCATTACAGGTTGAATGAATGTTTAAAATGTGAACACAGCTTTAATTTAATAAGATCTGTAAACAACATAGGCAAGCCAATGTGCTTTCTGACATCATCATGAGATTGAACATATGTAAACACTGGTGAATTTAGACCACTTTGAAGTCAACAAATCCTGTATCGTATTGTTTTTATCTGAAGTATTCCGAAATTGACAATCACAGAAATATTTTCATAATGGTTCCTTCTGTGAAAGTGTATTTTTTTTCTCCTTGTCTTATTAGTGCCAAGGGGATATACTCTCAGCCCTATTTATTTCATTCACTGGACAGGGAAAGAAAGATTTTTTGATACTTACCATCATTCCTGCTCTCCTCTGGCTGCACAACGGCTTCTGTTGCTTCTGATGGCATATTGAAATGTGTTTTAGATCGAGTTACTCCTGTCAAAGACACAAACAGCATGTAAAACGCATGTTAGCTCATTGTCATCAGAAACGATTGGAAGGGTAACTAATCACCATCACTCCGGTACCAATTTTTTATCATTTTTTGGTCGAGCCGAATAGAATTCGGTCACGCGACTTGTGCGTGGCATCTCCGTTGCCATGGAGCGAAGCGTATTTGCGCACTATTTTCACACCATTGCGCAATGAAGCACTGAATGTCAATGCGTTGACCGAATACTTGCCAAGCAATACCGCATGGCAAGGGTATCATATAAATACCTCTTGCACATCGGCAAGTGCGTCATTTGCAAATTCGCTGCGATGGAGCGAACACAGATGAGCTCCTCTTCACACACATACTAAATTCAGTGCAACAGCACACGTAGTTGTTTCGCAATAGACTTCTTCATATGGCTATGCATGTTAGCGATGTGCTAAGAGAACTTAAGAGAACGCGGAAGTGCAGAAAGTTGTGCGACACTGACCAATTTCGAGCTAAGTTGGAGATCTTTCCGGGGCCCTAAATCTGATTTAATTTTGAGAGTTAAGAAAAGTTGTTCAGCTGCCTGATTTGGGCAAGTTTTATGGCTCATAAATTATTTTTTTAATTGTTACAGCTTTTGAAACGGCTGTCTGACCGAATACTGGGAATGGACCGAATACTGGGCACGCTACCCTACGGCATACGCGGAATCCTTTTTTTGCATCACCAGCGCGCAGATCAGGAACCAAGAACCCGCAGAGCGCCAAATAAAGAAAAAACGTCCATGGAAATGAGGACGATCCTCATTTTTCAGGACACATTTTGTCCACTTTGAGGAGGATATCCTCCTTTATGCGGACCATCCTCATTCTTGGACCAGTGCCCCTTCTGATCAGGTGTGGGAACGGGTGAATACGAATGCATTTTATTTTTAGGTATTGTTTACATCAGTCTAGGGTATTATAGTTGATTAATATTATAAAGACATAACCGCCTAGCCCATCAGGCTACTCGCCCCATCCTCCCCCCCCTCCCAAAAAAAAAAAAAAATATGCAGTTGATTGCATCGTCATATTCATTCTGCTGTGCAACAGATTGTGCAACTGCAAGCAGCATTCGATAACTGATTTCCACTAAAAAACAGATGGAGAAAGAGATAAGAGAAGAGTAGAATAGGCAACACTGTCTACGACAAAGGGGCATGTTGTAAAAGAGTGAGAAACTTGCGAGAAAGATCAGGCAGTAGATCTACTACGCAAGACCTATACTATGCCTAGGTCGAGGCCTATGGACTTATTGTATTTTTCTAATGTTCTTGACGTAGGCTCAATATACATGTACAGGTATGTGCACCACCAATAGTCATGATAGTGAAGTACATGAGTAGCTATTAGTACAGTTCTAGAGTACATGCTTGCCCAAAATCTAACAACTATCCCTTTTATATGAAAAGTTTGAATTTTTCAAATATATTCTTAGAAGTTAAATCAGATTTCCACTTACGATTGATTTGATAAAAGACGATTTCGTAGGGTATTCAGCGGCCCCAGTATGTAATTTGCACGTTGATGATCGGGTATTTAACTAGAAATGCGTTCAGGCGTTAGCTAATATTTTTTACTCTAGAATAATGACTGCATAGTTTTGTGATTAATTATAGCAGAACAAAATGTTTTATACGAAATATGCTGCCAATTAGGAAATAAAATATTTTGAGGGAAAGCTTCTTAGACCGATGAAAATTGTTGTTGTATTGTTGTGTCAAATCAGTCAAGAATTAAAAATAATTTGAAATGCCTTGGATGTAAGATAACGCGCCTACGTTATTGGACTAGTCCAGGACTAGTCTCGAAACATAAACACGTATTGAGAGCTATTAAAGGTAATACAAAGTTTTGGTAGGGGGTCATGAATTTGGTTCAAATGAACATAATGGAAGCATATGCGATCCTACAATATTCAGTGATCGTTGCCGCGGTTGAAATCGAGCCTAAAGTGATGAAATTGTAAATAATAAACACTTTATGTTGTATAGCGCCCTCTCAAGGTCAAAATATTGATTTAGCTATAAACAATGTTATTTGACTAAAATATACCAATTTGCTATTACCATTTGGAATATATATATCACAACTGCATATTCTGAGATTTTCATGGTTGCAGCTACCATCGTATGGCCGTAGGTGCTATTTGATTTATCAAAATTTACCGGGAGCACCGGTAAATTTTTATATTCAATTTTTCTCGAAAACAATTATTTTAGTGATTATAATACATCCATAGGGGCATCCAAATATACCAACATCGTAAAGAATCACTATCCAGCCAATTTTCAAAAAATTACCAAAACTTTGTAATACCTTTAAACCATTATCACTTTATTTCAAAATGAATTAAAATAAAGAAGTAAGGAATAGAGATTACAATCATGACAATATACAATATTTCATAATCAAGACCAAACATAGTATAGGCCTACTTTTTAGTTTCTCGTCCCCGCTTTCTTCCCTTTCCGTCCACCGCCCCCCCCCCCCCCACCCCGCTCAAATAATAATCCGATAAATATATTGTATTTGAAAAAGCAAAAAGAGAGAATTTGCTTTGCAAGCCATCTAAGTGGGGATGGCTATAGCCTCGCATTGAATGTATTTAAAAAAAAAAAAAATCTTATTTGATTTAAAAGAGCTAAATATAACCTGCAAGGGGGATTATAGCCGGGGGAGACGTCGGCCTATATAGAAAATGTATGTGAAGGAATTGATCAGATTGTCTTAGAGTTTGCACACCAATTATACACATCCTGTTCTTTATTATGTCTAGATATCAATGGCAATGTAAAAGCTCACTCTGTTTTAAAGTTAGGGAGATATTGAAATGGGACGAATAGCCGTCATGCAGCTAGGCGGGTCTCAAAAATTGTGACTATACTACTAATACTATCTCAAAATCAGGCTAACACAGAACACTGCAACAAATTCTATATATATTAGTGTACTAGAATGTTCGGTGCTTCAAAATTTAGATAGAAGAAAGTACATATATTCTTTCAGGAAATGCTAAATTCGAAATTTTATCAAACTGACCACATTTACACCTTATTGAACTTTATGAACTGAAAATCACACCATGCGACTCTTTATGTGGTTTTTAGGTACCTGCATGGTCACATTTGATATCATTGTTTTGAAATTATTGTTTATCGGGTCTCAATTTAAAAAAAGTTTCTTATAAGTTATAACCAAAATGTGAGACGTACCAAGAAAATAAAATATATTGGTTGTTGTATTTTTGATACGTTATAATAAAAAATTATAAATAACCTATTCCATGTTATTTCGGCATTATGCGATTTAACAAGAAGTGCAAGAGATCGATCATAATGGACGAGCTTAGATGTGGAAAGATTTTTGAAAAATACATTAGAACGCTGCCTTCAGCTCCTCAAATCTGAGTGGAAGACGCGGGCGAAAGTAGAATGAGAAAGGCATTCTTCCCGGTAACAGGATTACCTCGCCCTTTTGGTTATCGCATATACAACGGTTTTCTCCAATAAATTGACAGTTGATACTTCATTCTTCATGAGGGAACTTTATTATAAATTTAGATGAAAACGTAATTGGGTCACTTTTTGATGTCAGATAAAATAACCACCACTATTTTGTTTTAAGCCTTATCAAGGTAAGATGACGAGGGCATTTTAGGAGTTTGAAATAATTATTCATAAGTCTGGAGATGCCCATAAAATTAAGGGAGTGTGGGCAGGTAATATCAGTTTAACGGGGGCATATTTTTCGTATATAAGCCATTTTCATGCATTTTAATGCCTATGTATATAAACGGGGCACTTTTTATGTGTATAAATATAGCACGAACCGAAAAGAAGTTGTCAAGAATTTTCGAATTAGCAACAACAAAAATGATCTTTATTAAAGGTAATACAAAGTTTTGGGAAATTTTGAAAAATTGGTGGATAGTGATTCTTTACAACTTTGATATATTTGGATGCCCCTGTGGGTGTATTATAAGCACTAGAAAATTGAGCCCCTAAAACACTTCTGTTTTCGAGAAAAATTGAATATAAACATTTACCGGTGCTCCCGGTAAATTTTAAATAGCGCCTATACACAATGGTAGCTGCGACCATGAAAATCTCAGAATATGTAGTTGAGATATATAAGTTTCAAACGGGCATAGCAAATCGGTCGATTTTAGTCAAGAAACATTGTTTTTATAGCTTATTATAATACTGTTTTCACGAAGTGACGGTAGTGAAAAAAAATTGCATTCACTTTGCGTTACGATTTTCCTCACTACCGTCACTTCGTGAAAACAAGGACGAATTATGTTGACCTTGAGAGGGAGCTACTTTCTTTAAAAAAAAGAGTGAATTTTCACTCTATTTTCACTTTCTTGGGAGTGACGTCCGTGATCACTAATTGTTTAGGAGTGAAAATCGATTGATTTTAGGGTGCTCTCTAAGAAGAAAAGAGTGAATGTTCACTCTATTTTCACTACATTTTCACTCTCCAGAGGAGTGACGTCCGTGATCACTCGATATTTAGAGAGTATACAACATGAATAGATTATTATTTACAATTTTATAAATTTAGACTCGATTTCAACCGCGACAACGATCACTGAATATTGTAGGATCGCATATGCTTCCAAAATTTTCATTTGAACGAAATTCATGACCCCATACCAAAACTTTGTATTATCTTTAACCAACGATACACGTTATCACCCTTTCTACCGATCTTGATATTACAGTCCCTTTAAAGTGTTAAGAGCTCAACATTCGCCCAAAAATTGGATGGAAAAATTTCCCTTACATTGTATCATAATGTAAAGAGGTTGTCATTTAAGACTCACTTTTGAAAAGATCCCCCCCCCCCAAAAAAAAAAAAAAAAATGTGTTTGAACACATAATGGAAGAAAACCCAACTTAGGTTTCAGTTCTGCGTATAAAGGCACGGCTCTAGGATTTTCCTTTGGGGGGGGGGGGGGCAGGAAATTCGAAAATTGCGCAGACCGTTTTTTCAACTCAACATACTGACAAGGTCATAATAGAATCACCATACCGGTACATTGTTGACATTTTCGTCGGGGGGGGGGGGGGGCCTATAGCCTCTTGCCCGAAAAAGTAATTTTCTGGTTTCACAATATGCTAGTGAGCGAAGCGAGCGAGCAAAAATTTGAGCATAATATGTATTTTGTGAAAGTGTTATTTAAAAATATCAAAAATTCATATTCGGGCAGCTCGCAGCCCCCCCCCCCTATTACGCGCAAAGCGTTGAAGCTTTGATGTTTCATGAAATTATTTAGAAAAAGAAGAGGATTCGTTGTACCATTCTCGACCCTTAATCCTTCAGTTTCCCCCCTTCCCGCGCAAGCGCGGAAGCTTTGACCTTTCATTAAATTATTAGAAAAAGAAGACGATTCGTTGTACCATTCTCGACCCTTAATCCTTTTCTGAATTCAGTTTCCCCCCTCCCGCGCAAGCGCGGAAGCTTTGACCTTTCATTCATTATTAGAGAAAGAAGACGATTCGTTGTATCGTTCTCGACTCTTTATCCTTGTCTGAATTAAGTTTCCCCCCCCCTCACCCCGGGGCGAAGCGCGGAAGCTGTGACCTTTCATCAATTATTAGAGAAAGATTCGTTGTACCGTTCTCGACTTGCCAGTATTTTCAAAAATGTTTCTTTGTCTGCTCCTTGTTCGTCCTCTTACTGCCCCTACCACCCTTGGCTACGCGCCTGCTTTAAAGGAAAAATGAAACAATCATGATTGAGATAGCACACGCTTAGGTTAGTAGAAATGAAAGAAGAAAAAAAAAATCTATTTAAACAGAATACACCAACCATGGATAAATCACGGCCGGGAGCGTCATATCATAGTTTTGTGTTATCGGGCGAGGGCCGGGGCGTAGCGACCAAGCGAGATTTTGCAATGTTGAATACTGAAATTATGCATTTTAGAAAATCCCTAAGCCCAATATGTACGTTATTTCCGCTATATTTCTAAATAGCGGCCCCTTCTACTTTTTCTTTTCTCCTTTTTTTTTTCTCTCTCTGTCTCTGTTTCTTTGCTCTTCTTTCCTTGCTCTTCTCTTCTCCTTTCTTTTTCTTCTCTTCTTTCTTCCTCTTTTTCCTTTTTTTGCGCCGCCAATAGGGGGAGGGGGGGCGGCCGTTTCGCCCCCCTGTATCCGCCACTGAACAGAAAACCCAAATTATGTATTCTTTTATCAATATTTCTCTTCAAACATTTTTTTTTTTTGGGGGGGGGGAATCTTTGCAGAAGTGTGTCTTAAATGACAACCTCTTTACATTGTGATACAATTTAAGCGGAATTTTGCCATCAAATTTGTGGGCTAAGCGGACACTTTTTTTTTTTTTTTTGGTCTCGAAATTTGAAAATTTGACATTTTTCTTCGTTGGGGGGGGGGGGGGGGAGGTCACCTTTTTTAGGTTAGCCGTGGGCGTATATATATATATTTTTTTATTTATTTTTTTTAAATAATAAAAAAAATTAAAAAAAAAAATAGGGGGGGGGGGGGGTTAGGTTTTTTTAGGGGGGTTTACACACATAAAAATACCAAAGGGGGGGTTTGAACCCCCCCCCTGCGTACGCCCCTGATCTGAAGCCTGATCCGAGGGACATAGATAATACCACCTAAACAATTAAAAAGGGAAAAGATGAAATAGGTTCGATTGTTGCTTTTGGTGTGTGAGAAATAGAACAACCTCGATTCTTCACTCCCTACTCTCTCATCATTATGTATTTGTCCCAAGTTTCCATCATTCTTTACTTGGATTCTAGTACAAAAAATATTTTGATAAAGCCATTGATAAAACCTGTAATTAATTCTATATATAGTTGTCTGCACCCCTATTGAGTGTTTCGATTAGGATTACAAGCTTTCTCCCCGACCACCCCTCTCTCTCCTCTCTTTCTTCATTCAATGTCTATCCCTGATTCCCTTTTCTCTTTATCTGTTTGTATTCCGGTCCAACTACCTCACGCCCTCACTCTCTCATTTACAAAATACATCCATGTTCTTTTACAATTTTACTAAGAAATTTATCAAACACACATGCAAAACAGTCTTTTCCCCATTTTTTTGTATCTGTCGACTCCCCCTCTCTCAAATTTTCTCAGTACGTCTGTTTTTCTTCAGTCTCTGTATCTGTCTCTCTTGCGCTATTCAAATCAAATAAGGTTGCCTTTAAGAGTTGTACCTTATAAACATGTTTTTGTAACAAATAATTATTTTACGAAAAGATTAGCCAGCACTTCTTCGTAAATAAAAGATTGTTTTCGTCTTTATAGTTTTCCTCATACCATTTAGGAATTTAGTTGCTTTCCAGAAATGTATTTAAATACATTTACTCCTCAATGATGGCTTCCTTTATGAGGTACAGATCTCCAGGCTCAACAACAAAAAATGTGTTTATGTGAATCCCCTTTTGAAACTATTTCACTTCTACTCTTATAGCCCCTTTACAGTTTTGGGAGCCCCAGCAATATGATGGCAACATTTCACTTAAATAGTATCATAATGATTTAAGAAACATTTTTGCACGGATTTTTAAAACAAATGTGTTTGAAGCCGAATATTGATGAAAGAATACAACATTTAGGTTTCTGTGTACAACAGAAAACCCTAATTATGTCTATCTTAGGACGTACAAACCGATCTTCAAAACATAGCAAACAAAATGAAGCACACAAAGAATATTTTCCAAAACCAGTTGGTATATATTTGAATACTTGTCCATAACACGAGTGTCGGTTAAGCATGTGTACTTTACCTTTATTTGCACCATTGCTATAACTCCACTAAAACAAATTTATAAAATCATTTCTTAAACTGAAAGAAACATAAAACAACTACAATTGCAAGTATAAAACAAGGGGAATGAGTTAATTACAGGAGATGCGGAGACTTAAACATTGCCATTTTCCCTCTTTTCATATACTCCTGCGATTTACATTTCGTCTCACCTAACAATTTAAAGCTTTTAGAAATCAAAGTGGAAGTTATCCATCCAGAGTACTGCCATAAACGTTTGGACATAATTACAGGCAAACAATACTTTTTTCATTACAATAGACACCGATACTACTAAATTTTCAATCATAATTACACTATGTTATCTGGATATCTTGCAGATACTGATTCTAATTTTGATTGCGATAGAAAGTACGGAAGGAAAAGGATTCTGCGAGAAACGGAAAGAAAAGAAATATCATTCAAATTTGTTCACAGTAATGCTCAACTATTTTCACTCGAATTCCATAATCATATCTATATATATATAAAATATATACATATACATACACACATAATAATGTCAAATAAATATCAGAACTCCTCCCTAATATATGAAGATTACATATTTACAAGTGGTATATGTATATGGGACGTTTATACTCATATCAGTTCGATTTTTACATGTAAAAACTGTAATGATAAATGCTACGACTACATTATTCAAAACAGATTATGACTACTTAAACACTGCTTTACTGACTGTTTTTACCAGTTTTCAAGATGAAAATCATCATCGCCTGGAAAAAGAAAATCAGTGATTATTCTCTACCACTAAATTTGTATGATTCATCTGTACATTTAGATGATGTTTTTAAACAATACCGAACTCAAAATACAAACACAATTGAAAATGCCTTGCACATTGACGAATCCAGGATTATTTAAGGAATAAATTGAGGGGGGGGGGGGTCCCAAAATGAATTTGACTGCAACACAAAAGAGAGGGGAGGAAGGGTTATCAAATGTGTACGGGAGGGGTTGAACATTCTTTGTATATATATATATATATATAAAGGTGTTAGCACTTTTTTCTTTGATATTTCCGCCTGGATCCGCCACTGTGTAGATGTACACCTACCCCCACTCCCATTCCCCAAAACAAAATTACTTACCCCCATCAAAAATATTTTGAAAAAATTATTTGGTAACAAATCTAACGCTATTACCTGTAACAAGTACCAATATTTTATTGATTAGAAAACAATTAACTTATGTGGACTATTCCATCAACGTTATCTGCTGGTAGCCACAATAATCATCGTATAAAAATTGTCACGATAACTTTGCAATATTTGGCTTTCAATTTACAAATTGCACAAAGCTGCGAATATTATTGTATCATACTTATAAACCATATTTTGTTCATCATGAAGATTACCAGCCTTACAAAAGACCACGTTAGCTACAAATAAAATATATAGAAGCCTGCAGAGTTAGAATGAGAAGGTAAAGTCTCTTTCTTTCATTTCATTTGTCATGTCTGCTGTAGCATAACCATTTACTATACAGATTAATTCCTTTGCAGTAACGGCAAGATGCATTTATAGCTAAGTGAATTATCCATCCATGCCTCATTTAAAAGAAAGATGTTCATAATAGAGAAGATACAAAGATATACGGTTACCTACTGAAAACATGTTAATATTTAGTGAATACTAGACTCTAATAGAATAATGGATCTTTATATTTAAGTAACTTCTTTGCAGTACTTTGAAATTACTTAAAAATCATATTAAAGTCCACCATAAATTGTTTCATTCTTATTCCGGACTACGTGACTATGATAAATCGTAAACTATTACCATCTATCTCTAAGCTCTGCTAATTGAATCGTTGTCGTCTAAAATATCTATGTATATAAGTTAGTTAAAAATGGTACTACCACTAACATATTAATGTATAACCAAGCTGTATAACACAAAAAGGGAGGACGGAATATACATGAAATAAAGCCTGTATAGTCATAGCTCAGAGTATGCCATTCTTTAAACACGTCAAAAAACATGCAAATGATTGGAATTCTTATTTGTATAATTCTATTGAAGCTTGATCCAAGAGGACTTTGCTTGCATGCACAAACCGATACATTAATTCCTCTTATACCGCGGTCGATAGGTTTATACGAAGAAACAAAAATGCGTCAGCGCTTCATATCAACAGACTGATGAGACATTGAAAAGATGGAAAACAAAATGTGTAATTGCGATGGTATTGACGATGTAAGTTTAAAAGGTAATTCATCTTTTATGATTCCTTATGTTGAACAAGTTGAGGGGATAAAAGCACAATATCCACTTATTCTCATGATCGTTTCCAGTAATATAATGTTTAAAGAAACTGGACTAGTGGTGAGAATGGCAGTGAGTTGTGACAAAATTTGTTTCCCAGCATTACATACAACTGGGAAATTAAGATACAAAACAGAACAACGATCGGTATGGCACAGCTAAAGTCAATGCAATATACGCTTACTATACTATCAGATGCATTCTATTCATTCGTGTAATAACAAGTAAAAGTCCAATATCTATATTATTTGTACACAGTATTCACAATTTGGCATCAATGACGATGCACTCACTTGATATTGTACACATTTTGGTCAAAACTGCCGTAAAGTGTATGCAATCGTACACATTTTGTTTTTTTCACAATAAGGCTTAGACAAAGATATTGTTTTTATGAGAGAGATAGGGATAGGGATAGAGAGACAGATATATAGAGAGAGGGAGGGAGAGAGATAAAGAGAGGGGTAGAGGTAGAGGGAGAGAGATAGAGATCGAGAGATAGAGGGAGAGAGAGAGAGAGAGAGAAGAAGAAGAAGTATAATAAAGCTTTATACACATCATTTTGTGATCATGCGTGTTTATGAGCAACGCGACGATAGATAGACAACTTATTAACAGGAATAATAAGAATGAAGTAATCACAAATAAATTTGGATAAAAAGATTTAAACACAATATTAATTTCAAAAATCTAACAGGTGAATACAAAACAAAAACAAAAAATTGACTGTTTTTCTAATATCATGTAAAAGAAAAGCTTTCAAAATTTTGCCGGTCACCAGAGTGTGACTTTTTACTATATAATTAAGCAAATATTTTCGCAAAGAGATAACACTTTATTGTCAAGACGATTCAAGCGGAATACATTCTACACACGTCTTTGAACCAACACAGGCTTACACATTCTACATGTAACACATTTATCATAATAGTACCGACAACAGATTCAATAAAGCAAAAGAAAGGTCCTTTATTAATAGTCATCTGACAAAAATTAAGGTCAACAGGTTTTCATAATACTTAAATGCAGCATTCTCAATTTGTAAGTGTGGTGTGGTGATTAATTTTATTTTCATGATTTTCTTATTTTAAAGTATTTGATTTTGGTGACAGAATCCTGATCGCTTAGAAACAATTTTCTGGTTTATCACTATTGAAAAACAAAACCCAGAAACGTTCATCTTCACAAACAATAGTAATCAAACCAAGGCATGATTACAGGCCTAAAGAACAATACAAAATTCTCTTTCTCATTATAGCGTCGCATTGAATAATCAATGACAAATCAGTCATGAAGTCATCTAAAATAATCGAGGAGATGTCTATAAAATTCTCTGGTAATACAAAAATCCAATCCAACAATATTCCACAAGAAATGAAATTGCTGCTATTATTTTTAGAAACAAACTTAAACATTTTATGTTATTTCTATGTATAAATTCATACACGAAATATCCATGTTAGTCACACATAGGCAATTTCTTCGTACATGTATACACAGTCTCACACGAAACAAATAAGCGATCAAATCGTCGGAAGCATTTTCAAAAACTAAATTTCGATTGTTCTGGCTATGGATGGAGGGTGCTCAGTCCCATGTGTGACAGAATATGTGCGGGATTAAACAGGAAGATATTATGCGCGCGGATAGCGGTCCATGCTATGATGTCACACTGTAATCTCCTGGTATTTGAGATCACAGATGCCATTTTGTCCCTTCAGCTCCCCTTTCAACCAGAAAGTAGTCTGGGTTCCTTTGCCCTGCAATAGAAAATGAAAATTGTCAAAGGATAAGCAACAGTTTTGCAATCATGATAATTTAGCACTCAAACACCTCAACCCAATAATGATATACATCAGTGTGCCACTTTGAATTTCTTGTTTTCTTTCATTGATTGCATTTAAATGAATTATTCATAAACACTATATCTTTTCGTAACACACACTATATATTCAAAACAAAGCCTAAGGCCACTTTTTTCATTGAAATACGAGGTTTAGCTTATTTCTTAGCATTTAATATCGCAATTTTAATCTGATACTATTTACTGAAAACAAATTTTTGAATACATTAACGAAAATCTGGTGCAATAAAGCACAAGGCCAGACATTATACAGATATCTTCTTTGGCTTAGGGTGAAGGTGAGGTTGAGGGTGAAGGAGAGGGAGAGGGTGAGGATCGGGGAGAGGATGAGGGTGTAATTTAGGGTAAAGGGAGGGTGAGGATGTGGGTAAGGGAGAGGGTGAGGCTGAGGGAGAGGGTAAGGTTGTGTTTTAGGGTGAGGGTGTGGGTTAGGGTGAGGGTGTGGGTTAGGGAGAGGGTGTGGGTTAGGGAGAGGGTGTGGTTTTGGGTGAGGGTGAGGGTGGGGGAGGGTGAGGGTGTGGGTTAGGGAGAGGGTGTGGGTTAGGGAGAGGGTGTGGTTTTGGGTGAGGGTGAGGGTGGGGGAGGGTGAGGGTGTGGGTTAGGGAGAGGGTGTGTTTTAGGGTGAGGGTGAGGGTGTGGGTGAGGGTGTGGGTAAGGGTGACCGTGTGGGTGAGGGTGAGGGTGTGGGTGAGCGTGAGGTTGAGGGTTAAGATCAGGGTGAGAGTGAGGGTTAGGGTGAGGGTTAAGGCGAGGGTTAGTGTTAGGGCTAGGGCATAGGTTAGGGTTACGGGTGCTGGTGAGGGTGAGGGTGAGGATTAAGTATACTATACTATTAGTGTATCTATTGAACCCGGAGCAATTGTCGCCAGAGTATTATCTCAGTCAAACATACCTTCATTTCGACTTCTCCTCTTAGTTCTAAGATGAAAGTGCCGAATAATTCAAGAATCTTCTTCGTCTGATTACTGAGGTGGATCTTCATGGCTGGAAAGACAGAATGAATACAAGGTTTTATAATTCTCTCTCAACAGTATCATGGATGTTGCTCGACAAGAGCGATTAGTAGATTGTTGGAAAAAATGCTGTCAAGTCAACTGAAATTTTTTCCAACAATAACAAAAAAAGGCACATTTGCTGACAAGGGTAAAGAAAATGGTCGTCAGAATTGCAATTAGTGGAAGCCATTCCAAAGGGACTTGTCACATCCCAACCTTCCTTCTAGCAACTCTCTAATTTTCAATTTATGTATTATTCAAATTGTTGAACTGCTGTTTTTAATAGTCTATATTGGTTTGGATTTTATGATTCATCACGATTAATCGATTTTGGAATCCATGAATCAATAAACACGGATGAACAGAATTATTGTGCAATTTTTCCTTATCACATACCTTCTCCATTCGATTCCATTCTAGATGCTGTGTTGACGGTATCTCCGAATAGACAATATCGAGGCATCTTCAGGCCTACTACACCGGCAACTACTGGGCCTGTAAGATAATATTAGATATTCATTGAGTGATTACCTTCTTAGCACGTTCTCCTGCATAGACAAACAGATGCTGCATAGAAATATAACCACTGAATCCAAATCGACAAATCTTGAAGCAATTTATTTGTGATTAGGGTAAAGCCGGATATATATATATATATATATAGAAGGCAATGTTTTGAGTTGGAATATGAGAAGAGATCAATTTCTAAGATTATTATTATAGCAGCTCCTTGCATAAAGAGTGTCAAACGCAACTCCAAAAAATGAACACACGTTTCGAATTTCAAATGATTGCAAATTAAGTTGTGTTAACATCTTTTTTACTCACGTTTAAAGATCAAATTAGAGTTCTGGTCATACGATTGCATTGTGAAAGAAATGGTGTGGAATCTAGCGATAGCATAGGGCCTATAAGTATTTGTGTGTACTGCAAGGTTCTGGAATCATCAAAATGATAAGAAATTTGGCCCAGTCTTGGTAAAGTAACAAGCACTGTAAGATGTAATATGGGACTACACAAACATGTGGCATAAAAATGAAGTTTTAATTTTTAAACTGTTACATGTCATAATTATTTGGAATATGAAGGCATTTGAAGAGCCATACTTTTCAGGGAACATTTTCTTTATCTGATGTTCTTCCACACTTGCATAATAACAATGAAAATGCTCAAAATTTTTTTTCACCTCTCCCCAGAACTCAACTTGTTGATAATGTTAGAAAACTGATGAGATATGATATTAAGCAAAAAGGTTAGATGCATTGCTTGATGCATATATCTCTCTGGAAAAAGGGAAATATTGCACAGCTATCTGCTATAAGTTTGAGCGAGCTCGAGAACAATGTTACCCACCTGTATGAACTCCGATTCTGAGCCGAAGTCTCTCTTCAGGTCTATGCCTGATCCTAAATGAGGTGATCTCATGGAGGAGTGCAAGGGACATACGGGCAATTTCTCGGGCATGGAAGTCACCATTACGGATGGGGAGACCTGATACACACATGTAGGCATCACCAATCGTTTCAACCTAAGATGGAGGAAAAAATACATTATGTATTACACATGTAATCTATAAATTTATAAAGAGAGAAGACAAAGAGAGAGAGAGGGAGATATATATATATATATATATATATATATATGAGGGAAACCAGATTAGATTCACAGATTATCTTATCTTGCAAAATGATTTTTATTGATCATCGTATAACTGACAAACTATTTCTCCATTTAAATAAAAACAGACTTAACATGGAAACCTGCGTTATTACACAAAACAAATCGGTAAATGAATGAGCACACCACAACAAGGTTATCAGTCAACCTTATTATAATCGGTTATGTGTACACCATTAAATCAGTAACAATAAATCAACCTATTTTCTGTTTGGATTATTTGCAATAAGCTTTATAAATAAGAAAGATAACATGGCCCAGAGGGAGGATAATTCATAAGCAATTTGTAAACACCATTTTGAATGTAGCAATTGGAAGAGAGGGGGGGGGGGGGTTCAAATTTGCCATCGAGGTAGCTGAAACCTCTCCAACAAGCAGCAAAAAAAAACCTAACCAACCAAACGTTGGAATGGTAAACAGATAGTCAACGCTACTGACAAAGCCGATTCTTATTATGAAATTCCCAGATATATGTCCAAAATATATTTCCACAAGCACACTTTTAATTTTTAATAGGCTGTACTTTTTAAAGTAATTTATGTTATTTGCTCAAAGGAACAAAGGCATTAAAGGTATGAATTTACTTTATGAAAGATATATACCGCATCTTGTCAAGATATCAAAATAAATTAAATATTATTGAATATGATCTAATATTTCAAAAAAATGTAACACATATCTTGATGGAAACAACAATGGAAAGGCTTTGTGTTAAACCTTTATCAGCGAAACAACTTAAGTTGATGCCTGTTGTTGATTGAATTAAACCATTTTAAGAACAGATATTTAGGGGTCCTGAAGCATTCAGGGTTGTCTTTGAACATGCATAGTCAGGATACATATTGTGTCCTTTGGGTTGAATAGATTACAAAACATGAACGAATATGATATGGCGTCAGCAAATTGAATCAGGATGCCCCTCTGCACGGAGAATAACAAATAATTCGGGCTTGATCTTCACCCAAACTAAAATTGACACGGCAACCTGATCTCCTTACGAATATTACATGTTGATCCTAATTCGTGTCTCAGTGTCTCTGGAGGTACACGATTTTTTTAGTGTCCTGCATCTTTAAAAAATAATCGTCATTTCCGTCAACAAACACACCTGTAATTCTACCCCAACCAACCTGAAGCCCTCTCACACACTTTCCTCTAACCCTGCCTGCCTACGTGAACTCGCTAAATAGCAATTAGGTGAAGAAAATGCCCAGAAGCAATACAATAGATCGATTACAGAATCGCCGCTTTTCCTACTCGTTATCAGATTCCGGTAGACAAAATTATTTCAGAGAAAAAAACAAATGAAACACCTACCTTGTAGACGTTGAAGTTGTCAATTACAGCATCGAAGCAAGTGTATAAGTCATTGAGTAGATCAACCACCTGCAAGATAAAACCAGGGAAAATAGGAAGTGAAGGAAACTGCTTGGAAACAAAAGGATGGGGATAGAGGAAAGTAGGTTGCCTGGAAGGTAATTTGATTGTTTGAAAACAGGGGTATACGGGAGTCATGAACTCATTCCATCTCTTAGCTCTTACGTTACGAAGGATATAACATTCAATGTATTCGACCAAAAAAAAATCTTGGTTAAAGGGGGTATATAAAATAGATCCTCAACGCCACGAAATGCAGAAACCAATGAAATATATGAAATGAAATGGCATTGAAGGATTTGCTTTAACATAAAGTTTTCACAATTTTTCTTTGGAACATTCTGTACATAATCCAAGTCTCCATATGCTTTCCCCCATTCATTTAGTGCAAAAAACAAAACAAACAAAAACTGTTCACAAATGAAACTACAGTAATCGTAGACAGGGGGGGGGGTGTGAAATGTCAGCTGCAAAAGTGCTTCTACAAAGTGAAGTTAAATCATCTTCAAACTTGCAGTCAAAATATTTACACATCCAAAGTTCCAAATATCTGTGAATGAACAGACGCATGAACAATGTTGTTTGTTTTAGTTTGGTTTATTCGTTTAAATATAGATTGAACAAAAATAACACCTATTTCAGCTGAAAGGCTTCCCTTTTCTGGTTCTGTTTTGGGGTTTATAGCTTCTATGCAGAGTCCATTTCATCATGTCCCCTGAACAGCACTTAAATGAATGAATGATAGCAGCGTTTAAAGAGAACATGCCCTTACACATACTACTGTTCGGAAGGCAAATCGATTAACCAAACCCACCTGCATACCTTACTTTTCAGATCAATACCTATAAATATTTAAGATGTGTTTGGCTCCGATTCCTGACATAACGAGAGCGTTTTCCCCATATCCGATTTCTGGGCCGGATCTAGAGGGATCACGAAATATAGGGCCCCCATTTTATTTTCGGTTCAAAAAGCAGTAAACATGACGTACAGCCCCTTCTTTCCCAATACCCTAACACGTGTGGCATATTTACCAAAGTCAGTCTCTCATCCGGCCTGTTCTAGTTACCAAGCCTTGCAATCATTTCTAGCGAAGTAAACATGGAAAATCGAAATATCCTTTTTTTTAAGTGAAGTAGCGTCAATGGTAATTGCCCTCCCCCATTTTTTCTGCGTTAGCATAATGGCTCAGCCATGTAAATGACGTTTGTAGCTTGAAAGACATCACGTTCGGTGACAACAGGTCCACAAATTATTTTCGGTTTACAACTTCTGCAATGATATACGAATCGTCAAGAAATAAAAATCATTAGGATGCAAAGAAATAATGAAATACGTTAACTTTTCGGTTTCTAGAAGATTACAGATTAATACGTTTTTTATTCACAACTAAAGCAATTGATACCCGGATACGCTTTCTGGCTTCAAAAGTAGAAATAAGCTGATGTTTTGGTTCGCAACTAACGTAATAAAATACTTTGACAGTGTCACTAGAATAAGCCGAAGGCGAAAATGTCTACAACCTATGCTGTGGTCCATAATTGATTGAATAAAATGCCTACCTCGAGAGGTGTACTGGCCGATGATAGTTTTGTGAAGCCCACGATGTCACTAAAGTAGATAGTCACACATTCAAATGATTCTGCTGTCACAGGTTTACCTTTCTTCAGTTCTTCTGCCACTGGTCTGTAATGTCAAGACAAAATTAATGAAAGGAGAAAGGTGTGGATGGTCAGTGTCTGTTGATTTGCATTATACTTACACAAAGTAGATATACAAGTAATTTAAAGTTACCTTCTTACATGCTGCCAGAAATAGCAATGAAACTTTGTCTATGATTGCAGTGTATCCTTTTTTTCACCATCCTTCCAACCACAACATACACATCAGACGGACCATCAAGCACGGTCAGGTCAAGCAATGCAAGTGATAATAATTACTAGTTTTTCTTCTTTTCTGCTGAAATGGACGATCTAGATAAATTAACCAATATATTTTTGGTGGAGAAACGTGGATACTCTAGCTATCTCTTTTTTTGAAAGTTCATCGGGCAGAGTCATATTACGACCCCATTTCGAATGCTGAATCTCATATGAACTTCATTACACCCAAATAGCATCTGGTGCAAATTCAATACCGTCTAACATGCCTCTCAAGGGTGAAAAGGGACTTCTAAAGAAAAAAATGTGCCTCTGATACAACGGGGTCCATCACCTGATAGGCTCAATGTATTCCTATCAACGGAAATAAACTACTGGATTCTTATTCTGTCTGTTTTTAAAGTGTCATCAAATTTCGCCTCTTTGGACACACCACATAATGTCCATATTTGTGTCCTATGCTATCCCTACAGAGGATATGATTGGCTACGTATCAAACAAACGCTATACATACAACATATGGAACCGATTTCTAACCTGGGCAGGATCTGGTAAAGGAGTTCCTCAGCCTTCCTCTTCTCCTCGTAGAATGCTTCAGTTCTCTCCTGGACCAAGCTCTCCAGATTGGAAGCGTACTGCTCCATCCGAGACAGTAACGTGTCCACTAGGCCCTTGTTCTCAGAGTTCCTACAGGAGAAGAAACAGGGAGTGGTAATTGGAGATACTCAGAAGGACGCGGACGGATTTTAAGAAATAATTAATATGTCTAATTTCTCAGTATTTGACTGGTCGACTATGTCGAGAAATGATAAAAACTCAAAAAATACATTTCCTTTTGCAATAGAATATTTGTGATCAGCTTAAGGAACATATTCATCTGGGAAAGTTGTACAGTGTATAAGTTTAGGAAGTGGGGATTTGTGCTTGATATGAACGTGTTTGACTGGTCATTTTAAAGACCATATACAAATTAGGTGATCATGTATATATATTAGCCTTTCTACATACCTATCAATTCTCGAAAGGTGTGCATAGGTGTACAACTGTTTTAAAGTTCATAAAACGAAATTGAAGTCCTTGCTGGCACGTATTAAAACTATTCGGCATGATAACTTGAATATTTTGTTTTATAATTTGTTTATTGGTACATGAATGATGAGCTGCATTTCCACTCTTTCATAACGTTAATTCACGATTTGACTGAAGTTTAGAGTAATCGAGATGTAGATGTTAGCTCTTTTCTCGTGTTTGGCATATACGTTCGGATAATGCATTCGACTGCCCGTGGCTTATTTAAAAACAGTTACATCACAGTCTTGGATCAATGGTACCTGAACTGATAACTACAACACCCTATGCGCAAAGTCTGAACTGAAAGCACACAGAGTTCATCACACAAACACGAGACCGCCAGCTTATTTTGGTGCAATTCAGCAGCTTACCACTTTCGAATGATATCGGATTATGGCAGTTTCCATTTCAACGTGTTTTACGGTCTAATCAGGAATGGAGTTTAAACGCATCACCAAATTTAGGACAATTATTTAGATTGACGAAGGGATTGTGTAACTACATAGGGAATTCTAGGCTACCCTCACACGATGCGTTTCGTAGCTATTGTGACCCATATACTAAAACGATGACACCAACATCTCACAAACAAAAGATACAAGCTAATATAGATAGGAAGAACGAGAAAATTTCGCCTACATTCTCTTATCGTAATTGGGGATTTAGAAACAAAGTAAAGTTTAAGAGGCAAGGAAAACAAAATGTAATATCATTAGAATCTACATCCTTACTTCAAATATTAGAAAATAAATATTACACAAATTTATGTACTTTCCCTGTTCTTTTGGTGGCTTTGCATGGTTATAAATGCATCGTGCTATTTTATCTTTAATTTAAAAATCTCACTTGTTGAGCTTGCGCATGGTGCCCCTTAGTTGACTGTAATCAGGTCTTATCGTGGAGTCTTCCTTCCAACAGTTGGTGATGAGGGTCATCATCTCTTGAGAGCACGTCACTCGGTCAATGGTTGGTCTGAATGCAGGCTTGTAGCCGTTTGCCACTTTCTTCACAATCTCTGTTGAAAACATGAAGGAAAAATCAAACGAATTATAACGGTTTTCCACAAGAGAGTCACAGCGGGAAGGGGGATAAACTCCAGTCTCTCTCAAAATAATAATTTTTTATTCATATTTTGAAAGATATAAACTATCATATAACCGAGATGAGAATGTGCTTTGTCTCTCTGTTTTTACAGCGCACAGGGAGAGAAGCTGGAAAGGGATGCCGGATAGGAGGTGTCGATGATATCTTACCGTCTTTGGCGAGTTTAGTATCACTATCACAACTAATGTTTCATCTAGGATTTTCAAATCCATGCATAGATATTGCACATTAAGACTTTCTAAACCAATCTGAACATGATTGTGTCGGCACAGATTACATTCAAGTGGGATTAGCATGGTAAATTTCTAGGTTATGAATAAAGATGGATTGTACCATGGAAATGTGGATATGCTAAAAATGAATGAATATTTATGATATTCTTGATCCAATAATCTAGCTTGTATAGTATATTCTTCGAAATGAGATTAACATAGTGTGACATAACAAATCGGAAGGAACAAAGCATAACTGCGAGAAGTATATACACAGCTCCATGAGCTGCCATGAAATTATGTCTAGGAAGCCTATTCGTACAAATTGATTTTTTTTCCCCACAGAGATATTTAACCTAATTTAAAATTGTGTAACTATAGAGTGGCTTTGTAAAATACAATGCTGTTTGTGTCGCTTTCGTAAGGATAAGGCAGCTGCGCCATCGGAATGGCACGTGTCTGACTAGCGTCGTCCTGAACATACCTTCGGGCATCAAGTCGACGTCCTTGATGTAAAAGACTCCTTCTCTGTACATGATCTCCTGTAAGATTATGCCAAAACTGTAGACATCTCCCTTCTGGGTTCCCCCAGAGGGGATCTCCGGCAGGCGAAGAAGTTCAGGGGCTGTCCATAATCTCCCTGCAAAATAAGAATATAGTAGACAAAGTTGATGATGATCAGGGACACCGGTATTTATTGTAATCCTTGAGAGATGAGAAAAAGGAGAGGTCTAGGTGTGGATGATACTACCCTCCATCTTATGTCTGATTAAAGTATGAAGCGAAAATAGCATATCGAATCATCTGACTTTAGGATAGTGGTGATCATCGAAGACAAAGATTTGATAGGATTATGTTGCTCTATTCTAGTACTCTATAATGCGCCAGTTTTAATTACCCAGAACGAATTACAGGGACACCTTGATTAAATCTGAAGTCGACAGAGGTAAACACTGAATGTCTCTAAAGGGAAACTTAATTCTTATTTGCTTCTTTATCATTAGCAATTGCAAGCATTTTGTGATATATTAGTGTCAGCACTTTTTTCGACGGAGGGAGGGGGGGGGGGGGGGGTAGAGGGGTCACAAAAACTAGTTATTTAACAATTCCCTTACTTTCAGACTGTTATCATACAATTTTGTAATTTCCACATTAACTTTAAAACATTCTGTCGTCATTTGGGAGAGTGCTAAAGAAAAGCCGCTCAATTCTTTACACGAAGAAATCTGTGCCAAAATGGCATGAAATGGCATGATTCGTCCTTGGTGTGAAAGTATAGAAACAAATTTACTGACAAGAGATTGCTTTTAAGAACTCTTCCATATTTTGTTCATGGATCACGAGATATAATTGGTGAATGAAACCTATGTCACTGGCACAATGCTGTCAATTTATTTACTGTAGATCTAGGTCGTGCCGCTTGGTATTCCGGAGTTCCAAATCGATTATTATGTTTAACCTTTCTCTCCTGTCATTCGTCCAGGTCAAGAACAAAATACGTTTGAAATGTGATCTTCGTTCATTCACATTAAACTTAATTTCTATTTTATTCTCACAGGATGCCCCGTGGTAAACTTGCTGACATAACTGATCCCGATGGTTTTCCTGAAGTATTGATTAACTCTCTATACAAGTTGGACATCTGTACAACATTATACGGAGATCAATGGGGATGAGGAGAGATTGAATCTGCTTTTCAAAAGATGACACGGACCCAAACTCGTAATGTTAGAGCCAGAGGAGAGGGTGAAAGCAAGTCATCTTGAAGCACTCATCATTCAATAGAGAGTTAACTTTATCTTGCTTGCTCATGTTCAAGAAGAAAGAGAGGGAAACAAAGGTGATGACGTATAAAGAGAGAGAGGGAGAAAGAGATAGATTATGCCTCTTGTCACCCTCTGCCCCCAGCTGAGATGTTACACTTACATGATATACTATCTCAGAGGGTGTTTTTTATTCTATTTCTCATCTTCATAACTCTTCCAATTCCTTCGAAAAGGCATTTCTCGTGCAAGGCAAGGAAAAAGGAAGTCTGAATCAACCCATCTTCTCTTCTTCAACGCCACAATAACCTTAAAATAAAACTGAGCTGCTCTTGCTAGTTGGGATATGTGATCGCTTTTCGATGACATGTGGTGACGTAGGTGCAGTTTTCTAACCTTCACCAAAATAAGACAGAGGAAGATTTTTTTTTTAAACCCGAAGAAGAACCGCAGAAATACAGATCAAAATATCAAAAGGTGAAATAGATGGATTGATCTGCGGTAGACAAGAAGTCTTTGGGTGAAGTTCTTGCCCTGGGGATTATCCTGTTTTTGAGAAAATGTCAGAAATTCTATCACTGATTTGATATTGCTCTTTAGCAGGGAAAATGTTCATACATGCTTTGTGTTTTTTTTTTCTTGTACGAAATGGATTTCTTTCTCTTTTTTTCTTTTTTTATCATCATCAATTAGGAATGTGAAAGTATTCCTTTAACTGTTTTGCTGATCGAGAACAGTTATACAATCGATCAATGACTGCTTCAAAATCATTTCAACATAATTATGCATACTTGTTGAATGTAAACATGAAAGCGCAACATTTGTTTGTCGAGTCTTATGAGTGACGCTTGCTTGTGGTCGATTGTGATTGAAGATGAAGAATACGTGACATATAATATTGAGCGATTACCTGCCACACTAAAATTTAGAAATGTGTAATTTGGGCAAAATCGTTTCTGAAGAAAAGGTACCTCTATCAATATTTTTCAATAATAACGTATATTAGTAGTTCCTCATAAAATTGTTATTTACGTCAGACCGTGAAATGCATTTCAAAATCCGGACATGCTTTGCATGCAGGATGAAATTCCCTTTTGAAACTTTAAAAGTTAATGATAAAACGCATGAAAGTCGTTGCGGGTGGGGTTGGGTAGACACTGAACAAGTCCATATTACAAGGCTACAGGAGATTATTGTTGCAATAAAACATTTCTATGGTAAATGCAATTATGTAAAGTTTAATGGGGGAAATTAGAAAGCTTAAAGTAGGTTGTGTGCCTAATAGAGCTGAACAAGAAAAAGAAAGAATCTGATGTGATTGCAAAGAAACAATGGGGAAATGGGAAAAAGAAGGAAGAAGAAAAAAAGTTCGTCCAAACCGCTCCATTAAAAGGGAAGAAAATGCAGACGTTAGCTGCATGCATGATTATGCCTAATTCTACCAAACCAGCAAATAGGTCATTTCTATTTCTTCTGCTAGACATTTTTCATAAAAAATAGAATTTGGAGGAGGTTGGTTGATCATAATTCTGTCCGAAGGGACTATCTATGGAAACCCCGTCCATGTCATTAGAAACTAAAGGCAGACGAACGATCCTAAAAGTAGGCCTAATCGATAGCAGATGGCTCGATAGCTTCACCTGAATCAATCAAGAAATTGCGCGTTTAAATTTCTTCCCTTTTTCCTCCGGAAATGTAAGGACGCAAGATGAAATCGCTGCCATTCGCCTTTTGTGTAGCTATTTTCAAGACTCTCTTAAAGAGAGTATACGGTTAACATAATGCTTTTGGGGGACATCTGTGAACATTATTTTAAGCCTGTACGTTAATTGTATATTCTAAACCTGTCAAGGCCTCAGATACATGTAATATCGTTATTATTGATTTCAAAACCTATGCTTGGATAATATTAATCAAACCACGGTGATATAAAATAACTACAGGATCTCGGTAAATTGTGTGCAACTGACAAGTCTACTATGCATCACAAATTAAAATCAAATTTGATTCTGACATCTGTGAACATTATTTTAAGCCTGTACGTTATTTTACATTTTGAACCCGTCAAGGCCTCATAAACATGTAATATCGTTTTTATTGATTACAAAACTTATGCTTGGATAATCTTAATCAAAGCATGGTGATATAAAATAACTCAAGAATTTCGGTAAATTGTGTGCAATTGACAAGTCTACTGTTCACAAATTAAAATCGAATTGGATTCTGACATCTGTGAACATTATTTTAAGCATGTATGTTATTATACATTTTATATCCGTCAAGGTCTCATATAATATCGTTATTATTGATTTCAAAACTTATGCTTAGATAATCTTAATCAAAGCACGGTGATATATAATATATACAGGATTTAGGTAAACTGTGTGCAATTGACAAGTCTACTATGTTCACGAATTAAAATCGAATTGGATTCTGCATGAGTGATGAGCAAACTGTGAAATTCTAATGTTCATTAATTTCCATTTAAAATGTCTGACACACTGCACTTTTCAGATACGATTCTGCGGTGATTCTTTAATATTGATAAATTGCAGATGATACATTACGGGTAAGGGCATTCCGTGGTGGATATCGTTCGGCCCTTATGAGAATTATAATTGGTTAAATGGTAACTACCATTGGCTCCAGTTCTTGAATTCGAGTGAATTAGAAATGGTAAAATGATGAATAAATCTATAAAAGCTCATTCATGAAGATTTATCTTCAGGTCATCTAAGTAGGACAAATCGCTGGTCATTGCTACCCTTTTTGGCGAGTTTCTATACAAAAAGGACATACGATACCATAGAGAGAGAGAGAGAGAGAGAGAGAGAGAGAGAGAGAGAGAGAGAGAGAGAGAGAGAGAGAGAGAAAAGATAAACAACACAGAACAAGGCGTTCAGAGGGAAACAGAGAAAGGGAGACGGAGAGGGAAGACAAAAGAAAGCGCGATGGAGGAGAGAAAAAAATGACGGGAGAAAGAGAGACAAAGAGAAAGGTGGATATGGGGAAGTAGACAAAGAGGAGGAGAAAGAGACGATGGAGAGAGAGAGAGAGAGAGAGAGAGAGAGAGAGAAATGGTAGGAGTACTGATGTGGGGGGGGGGGGAGGGGGCATGATGATGACGATCAAGAATTCAGGATCATGTGTTGGTGGTGTGGGTGTAGGATGGGGTGTGTCGGGTGGGAGGTTGTGGTCCAGATATAAGCTATAAAGTAGACCAGAAAGCATCAGGTTCGCCTGGGAATGTTTTCATCCAAGCCTGAAGGGCTGGCTTAGGGTTTGAATCCCTGCTTGACGGTCCAAATCTCCAAGACTGATTGGACGAAGAAAACGAGGGTATACGGTGCGTGATCTCAAAAGCTACAGGGGATGTCATCTATTATTCATCGCCCAGATTCCAATGGATAACGAATACAATAGAAAGAAAGATTAACTACCGATTGAAATGCTGGTATGATTTCAAGTTTCATCTGTCTCGGAAAGCTGGGTCCATCTATATCATTCCATCAAGCAAGATTGCATTTCTCTCTCTCTCTCTTTCTCTCTCTCTCTCACCTTTTCCCAGCAGCACAACACTAAATGATAGGTTTTATGTTGCATGCCGGGAATTCAACGACTTTATGATAATTCAAATCATACTATAGGTCTTTGCTAAATGAGCAACCCGTCGTTTTTTTAATGTATATACATCTATTTCCTAGAATATTGAAAAGAATAATGATTAATCAAGGATTTTAAAAATGACATGTTTTGAGAAGAAGAAAAAGATTCGTATGTAGAAAAAGTAACAAAAAAACAAACAAATTACGAACAAAATATATATATAGATGAAGCATAATTGGTGCCTCATAATGTTGATCAATATCTTACTCGCCAAACGTCAATATTTCAGAATCACTCCTTAGCAAGACTTAAAGGGATAGTTGAGTTCTGTTTTCAGACCGCAAATGCCTTCAAAGTGCAAGGTTATGGCTCTTATTCTTATCCATGACCCTTTTAGAACCTAAAATTGCTATGAAGGTAATTTTAGACCCCAAAATGTGTAAAATTTAGCCAATACGATCATACCAATTCAGCTCCACTTTAAAGAGAAGGTTGAGTTCTGGGAAGAGGTGAAAAATAATTTGTGAGCGTTACTCATTCTTATTATGCAAGTGTGGAAGAACATCAAATAAGACACGTTCCCTGAAAGCATGGCTCTTTAAATGCCTTCATATTCTAAATATGCATGTAACATCGTAAAAATCGGGGGCCGGTTTTTTACACCACGTGTTCGTGTAGTCCCATATACATCTTTCTGTGTACAGTGTTTGTAACTTTACCAAGACTTGCCAAATTTCTTATCATTTTGATGATTCCAGAACCTTGCAATACACACAAATTCTTATATGCTAGATGATCAACCTTTTCTGATCGATTCCACACTGTTTCTTTCACAATGCAATCGCATGACCAGAACTCAACTTCATCTTTAAAAAAATACATGGTGACCGTTAATTAATTATTGAATTGGAAATAACAATACACGAGCCGGCTAATTGTGGGTATTATAAGCAATACAAAAATGCCAACAAAAAAGCCAACATCGGCATTAGCTGAAATACGACGTAAAAGGCTTTCGGGTTTTTTTCAACAGTTTTTTCAAATTTTTCAAAATATCTAATATCTGTGGTGGTACACAAGTATTAGAAATTGGTATATTTCAGCCATCTCTGAACCGATTTTGATCAAACAAAGATGATTTTGTCATTTAAATATTATGTTCTTTCAAATTTGACACTCAGTTTTTCATTATCTCACAAAAAAATTATTTTGTGTAGCGCCCTCTGCAACAGAACTCAACTATCCCTTTAACGTTCATAATGCGTATGCTAAACGATGATTTGTATGAGAAAGTATACATTATAGATTTCCAGTTAAATTGAGAGATAGATTCTAGGAAATCGAAGCGAGTGAGCTGATATACATAGACACATCTTTGCACTAAGACGTCAGTCCAAAATGTATAGCATTATAGTTTCCGACAGTGTTTATGCATTGATATTATACAACTGTCACTACTGGTAAAACAACGTTTTCAGCCATACAAATGAAAAACGAGGTGTAAACTAAACATCTACTAGTTCATAGGATGAGTTCAATTAGTTTTGTTGTTACGAACATTCGAACAGAAAGCAATCCGTAAATGGGATAATGTGCACACCGAGAAAACAGATATCACATTTCCTCCTGCATTGGTGAGCCTCAAACAAAGTTTGACAAACATTGATTAATGGAGATTCAGCGGGATTTTTTTAAAACTTTAACAAAGCGAATACAACAGATGAATCAGAAATGTACAGATATCACTTTTGTCTATTCATTTTCTATCACACAATTCATACCAAATCTACTTGAGCAAAATGAATATGTTTCATAGGCTATGCATGGGATGGGGGGGGGGTTATGGGATCGTCGTTATATAAAGTACAATGTCAATCCTGTTTCAACGATCTTGATCAGTTTTAAAGGCATGAACAAAGTTCTGGAATCAGAAGTTAAACATATTTGTTTGGATCCTCATAATCAATCTTGATACATTAGTAGTATGTTCTACAGGTAGAAATGTTATAACATGTAGAGAGAGAGAGAGAGAGAGAGAGAGAGAGAGAATTTAGGAATTAGGAGTGGTACGTAAGTAGCATGTTGGGTATTATTAAAATTGAAATGAAGTAGGAGATATGAGGAAGGGGTGAAACAGTTGGTATGCCTATGATTGGGTAAGTAAATGAGAATAAAAATATGCGACGAAAACGTTGTGTAGGGTTAAAGGGAAAGTCCACCCTCAAAATAAGTTTGTTTCGATAGAGGCAGAATAATAAGAAAATCAGGTGAGTGAAAGTTTGAGCAAATTCTGAATGAAAATAAGAAAGTTATGAATTATTGAAGTTGTGATCAATCAAATACAAATTGGCAACTCTGTGACTTATTATACGAGCTCTCCTTCATTTGCTTTGTGCATAATATTCCATAAAATCATGTTTTCTTCGTTATTGATGACGGAATATATATTTGTTCCTTGCAGGGGGAGTATAGAAACATATTTGCAATTATTATGTTTAGGGTGCATGTATGGTTGCAATTTTTCTTGAGGGAAAATGAAGATTTTAGATTTTTTTAGTACTGAACAAATGGAAGTTGAGCTCGCATGATACGTCATAGAGTTGCCAATTTGTATTTGATTGATCACAACTTCAATAATTCATAACTTTCTTATTTTCATTCAGAATTTGCTCAAACTTTCACTCACCTGATTTTCTTATTATTCTGCCTCTATCGAAACAAACTTATTTTGGGGGTGGACTTTCCCTTTAATCAAGTAAAACTTGAAACTTCAAATATGATGTTAATTACTGATCAGGCAATTTCATCTAAATGTTCGATCAAGTTGACTAAGTCTTGTTGGAAATCACAAACAATGATAATTATTAAACAAATTTTTGGCGAAGTCAGTCTACGTAAGCACGTGGCATAGATTTTTTTAAAAACTATTATACTTACATTTAACATACAACATTTAACACGAAACATCGTCACTATGATTTTCTTCAGCATGGGGAAAATAATAATATTTGTGTAACCTTTACCAGTACTTAACCTTCTCTTTAATCAATGCTGTAATGATAGAACCACGAACCTAAACTTGGACTTACTTTGATAGTATTTGTAAGAATCCTCTTCATCCGGCTCGAAAGCATGGTCAGGCTCCCTGAAGGACGTCAATCCAAAGTCTGTGATCTTCAATACAAATCTGCTGTCCACAACACAGTTTGAGGATTTCAGGTTCCCGTGGGTTTGTATCACGCTGTTATGCAGGTACAGCATGCCCTGAAAGAGATGGGTGATAACCAGATTTACTATCATCGGTAAATCAAAAACAAAGTATTTTCTAGACAAACTTAGAGACTTAACGTAAAACTTATTAATACTGCATTCTCAAAACTACATCCAAACAAATATTATGGTGTTTTCTTATACAATATCAATTTGATGCATTTTCTAAATCATTTGAAAGGTAGCAATAAATGTGAATGTGTTTAAGATTCTATAAAAAAAAGACTAACGAACGAAGAAAAGAATATAGTTCCTGAAACAGGATTAACAAATAAACGCAAGGTATATTAAAATTGTGTTGTTTCTTACCCTCATGTCGGCAATGAAAGGGTGAGGGTTTTTAACTATGTTTTCTATTCTTGTTGGTGTTTTTCTTTCATAACTGACTGATTAATTTCAATTCAATTAAATAAATCCCTTTATTAAATCTGTAGATAAATTTGAACATCGGAGAACCTGGGAGGGGGTTTGTTGGGGAATTTTAAGGAAAATTTATTGGAAAAATTTGGCTAGTCAACTTCTCCCTCTCTCATACTTCTCCTTCAAACCATCTCCCTTCACTCAAAATGGTAGTGAGTATATGCCCTTTGAAGAAAATGGACAAAACACGTTATCTATCTCCGGTCGACCGTCCAAGTCCTTCGTATTGATCAACGCCAAAAGCACCAAGATGCGTTTTCAATTTGCTTCTCATGAAAATAGCCCGGGTCGTCACGACCTTGGGGAAATATTTCAATTTGGGTATGATTGTACTTTGAGAGGCAATTTGCAAAGCTAGAAACAGTGAATGTCCGTCCCAATAGATTCGACACTTTATACAGAGGCCCGGAAAATAACCAAGTGAAAAAAGAATTACAAAACACGTTCCAAGAAATTTGCCAGTGCAAAAACAAATCAATGGTTATTAACAAGAAAAGATTTCATTTCCTATCTCATTTGATCACGTGGCAGAATGTGCCAGTAGCATCAAACGGAGAAGGAAAGGGGAAGTACCCCTCCCCAAACTATGGATGTCTTGTGATTTTCCTGACGTGCCCGCAGTTCGATTTATTGACGATTAGTTTACGCTCCCACCCCTCCCCCACACACAAGTGAAGACGCTTGTGCGATTTAGTTTTGTTTTTAAAAATCACATTGATTTCTTTATGCATATACATGAACACTGCTGTACATTGCTGATCAATGCTAATCCAAGTATTTTATTGTTCAATAGTAATATAAAATACCATTACCAATAATAATCCTTTCTACTACTTGGTTATAATAAGTGCGATATACAAACCATCTTTGTGATTTACTCTTGAAATTAGGCTTTTACTTGCATCCTTCATTATTACATCCCATTTTAGATTGTACGAGGAACGGTAAATCACCCTAGCTAACCATGACATCACCAAGGGCAATATGAAATGATGTGTCACGAGTGGATGACTACAGATGAAAAACTGATAAGAGCCAAGAGATACAATTCGCTCTTGACATGACGTGTTGAGAAGGAACACAAGTTACCACAAGTGACATAATTTTAAACATTACACTATATCTGTATATGAGGCATGACCAAACGACAATCCAATACCAGCCAGCGAAATAGCTTGGCAAGATTAGGAAACGTTCACACTGACTTATTTTACACATTCGTAGACACGCTCAGTGGTGCCCAATCCTTTCATCGCTACAATTGCAATGCACCAGACATCCTTGCCCGCACAAAAATCCACTAAACACCTGCATCTGTAACGGAGCTAAAATCTTGTGCAAGAGTTGGTATGTTTGTGTGAAAAGTGCTGATCTCCCTCGATACTGGACGAGATAAGGCTCATTTCATATCTCGTCTGGATTGCCATGAATTTCTTCTTCATCAATTTTCAGTTATCGCGCCAAAAACTTACCTTGACGATATCGTACATCAGGGAATACTTGAAGAGCTCGTCCAGTTCAATTGAGTCGTTTTCCAGAATATCCTGTCGAAGAAAATGAATAATAAATATGGGAATTAGGAAAACGGAAAATGCAATTGCATTCTCCCTCAGCTTGGAATACGCAACATAAACGCACAAATGCAACAAATTATTTAGGGAAAAAGAACCTAACATAATACAGTGATGCAGTTTATCTGGAGAATACAAAAGTACATAATCTTAAAGTGTATTTTCACTTGCTTAATACATTGAAGTGTACATTTATCTAAATTGCCACAAACAGTGTTTTGGTGAACTGTAACATTTGGTTGTCGCCCGCCATTTAAATCGTTATGGCATATTTTGCAATGAAATCGAATAAAAAGAAAGGTTTCTCATGGAGGCCAAATCATATCTGATCATATTCTTAATTATCGTTATAAACAAGTTTATAGTAAGTCTTTATAACAATTCCGATGAATTGTGATGTAAAAACCTCTGATTCGAAGTTTGATCTTACTCTGGGATGCATTCAAAGACTATTTTCTCGCATTTATTACAAGTTATGTCAAGGAAACTCTTACAAGACGTAATTACCCGCCTTATCGCAAATCAGGCAACCCTGTTTACTTCTGTCATTTTGTGAAAAGCCCAAGGGCTAGACCATCGGTTCAAATCACCAAAATCCTACTATAATCTGTAAAGTTACATCTTCTTTTCTTCCTAAAGACCATTGCATACGCCTCAAAACCAATCTCAAATGACTTTTATTAAGAACTGTGACGCACCAACGCCTACTCATGTCCTGAAAACATTCGATCCTACATTTTTCTTTGCCTTACATAATTTATTTTATCACAGCCAAACACATGTTCACATGGATAAAAGCGGATCATGCCGATTATTTACTTGGAACAGGTACACTTTGATATACATTTTGACTAATTTGTCGGATGACAAGGACTGACTCCACCCCTCTCGATATGACATAGCAATCCCCCTCCCCTCTGGGTCAATACAACTCATGGAAGTCTTTTTCAGTTATAGCACAAGTTTTCCTAACTCTATGCTCACCTTTCCGTCAATAACTGTCCCAGACAAAGATGACATAAAAAAAGTGACAGATGCCCAAGAGAAATCGCAATGATAATGGATTTGCTGAATCCGGGTTAAATGACAGTCTCAGCTTAGCTGGTATCATCTTTCATTCAGCTTTCATATATTACCCATCAAAACTACCCTCTGAATATTAACATAATAGTCGGTACTGATAAACCACTAGGACACAATGTGAATCAGGAACAAAATTCGTTTCATCTTCTTTAGCCTATATACATATCAATGTTCCCTTCATAAAATTGGACTGGTAAATTTATTACAAAAAAGAGAACATTTATGGAATCGGGGTAATGACGTGGTTTTCGTTCATAATTTTTTCCTCCGAGATAAGATCTCTTCTCATCGCCTCTGTTCCTTTCCACTTTCTATCTTGTCAACATTAAAGTCACCCCTGCCATTCATACCATTCACTTCATCGTTATCAACTGTCTTGCCCAATAAACCATTAAATACAACCACATAATAGTATGGGAAACAGGTGGGTGATATATAATGGTGAAGTATGTTGTATCTTCAAAGTGGATTGGTTAACATGGGAAGAGATAATATTATACCGCAGTAACAGGATTACAAGGCACTCGTACGGTTATTCCACCTGCAAATGGCAGAGGCCATTGTGTGATAATGTCCGCATAAGAACGAGCACCATAAAAACCAAACCGAAATTACATTAAATTACCGATGCTGACATTTCACCAAATACTTCAGATATTCATATTTGAAAGAGAGTAGGACCATGGACCTACATGAACTAAGAGAGATAGGGATTAGAATGACACATTTGAAACATTAAACAGAGACATACAATGGAGGGGTGAGATAGAAAGAGAGAGGAATGCGAGAGAGAAAAGGGAAGAGAGCGGAATGCGAGAGAGAAAGGGAGAGAGAGAGAGAGAGGGGCACGGGAAAAGAGGAGAGCGAAAGAGTGAGTGCGTGCGATGGTGGGTGTGCTTGTATGTGTGAGTGGGTGATAGTAAGAGACAGGCGGTAGGAAAAGGGAAAGAAGCATGGAGGATTGTATGTGTGTGTGTGTGTGTGAGAGAGAGAGAGAGAGAGAGAGAGAGAGAGAAAGAGTAAGGTGTGTGTGTGCGTGTACTGTGTTTTCCGTGTGCCATGTGCGTGTGCGTGTGTGTATGTGCGTGAGGGATATAAAAATAGAATTTTGACAAGATTGAGGATGATGGATGCTGAATGACAATGAGGTTTCATTAAATCCTGTAATCAAGCTAGCAGGTGATCTGTATAAATTCTTCCCATTACATTTTTCCATAATAGTAAGTTACCCCCCCCCCCCCCCCCCACCCGTGTTTGTGCGAAAATCACTCAGTATATTTTTAAGGAATTTGTTGCACGCTATAATATTTTTCGGTAAATGTGAAATTTATACTTCAAAATGTATTTTTTTAAGATAAATATGGAAATTACATTTGATGTCTTGTTGATGATCATGTATTATAGTTGTGGATGCAAACTACAATACCCTTGGTAATAACTGACGATAAAATCTGGAAATTACATTTAATGCCTTGTTAATGATCATGTTATTCCGCATTATCTCTTATATTTGTGGATGCAAGTTACAATACCCTTGATAATAGCTGACGAAGAAAAGCCGTTAGATTCAACTCTCCCCGTATGGATGGATGTCCCCCTTGAGTGAACGTTCTACGACGATTTTTAAGCACATTGCTCACTCAGATTTTGTAGCCCTCTTCAAAGATTCTTGCTGGGTTTTTTTCTGCGACTATATATTTAGACGACTTGAAAATCATTCGAGTGATCAGTCTTTTTGAATAATTCAGCTATTATCGACCATAATTCTACCTCCCTGGTTTAAATAGCCCATTTGATGCAACTTTTATTGATTTCTTTAGTGTAGCACTTAAGTGTTGGGTTCTGTGAGATCAGCATCAGCTTCACATTACAGATTGTCGTTACATTTGCATAACGTACAAAAACAAGGGAGGGTTTGTTTGCTATGTTTGTGGAATGATGAAAACCTTTCGAAAATAGGAAATCTTTATCCTGGTGAAATGTCATGTAATGTCATGAAAAGGGCAAGTTGTTTGGTTTGCTTCACATGATTTGTTGATACATTGTAACGCTACTAATACACTAATGAAACAAAACGTTTTACTACATAAGTACAGGTATACACTCGAACGTGCCTTGGAGAGATTTTGCATTTACTAAACGAGCTCCCTTAGTTGGGTTTTTTTTTTTTATAGAAGAGTCTGTCAATCTTAGCGACGAGTTGAGGCACGTTACGACCACTTGTCAGCCAATTCGAACCCGAAAACTTAATAAAAACTCTCATTTAACAGGAAATGAAAGCAATGCGATCATAAAGCCTGCGGGTACGTAATGATCTTTTACGGTAACATTGGCAAGCGAGTGTTCTCTACTAGAAGGGGCACGTAGCAGCATAGTAGACTGGAGGAAAGGACGATTGCTCGTAGACTATTGGAACCAAATAAGACAGAGCACACCGTTCTTCAGTCAATAACCTTTATCACAAGACGATGTAATAATGGCGTCCAAGGGGGGTAGTAAGATACAGTACTTACTACTCCTGGGGCTTCGCCCTTTCTACACTTCACTCTTTTCTCCAGCAACACGTGATACGTTCTTGAAGGAGACTTGATGCGTTGCTTATCAAACAAAGTGCAATAAAACAGTCGAGTATTCCACAGATTTACAGATACATGAGAGTCGAGAGCGATACGAACGGGAGCCTGCCATAATCTCATCATTTGCAATGATTAAAAAACCAACACAAAAATGGCCACAGGGTAAATATGCCTCAGTTTCATCTCACCATCGAAAATGGTTTTATCTGCGTTACCTTACTTGAAGATAAATGACTTGGCTGACTTGACGCTTTATTTAGACATACTCGCCCTCCGAGCATTTATGTTGACTTTCCTTTTTGTCAGAGCTCTCAAGATTTGTGCTTCTTTTGCTATGATTATAAAAAAAATCTAAGGTATTTCATGAACAGACACTAAAGACATAAGATTATACATATTTTCTTCAATTTTTGGGATGTCCGCAACCACCATGACTGTAGAATAATTGTCTTCAAAGACGATGTTGGGTTTTATGTCTCCCGCTCATGTATGATATTATCTAATTGTTTAGCTTCGAAGTAATGTCAAGAAAAAACGTGTATTTTCGGTTCAACGTATATATTTTTTTAGTATTATTCTAGTAAATCAAGCACAGTTAGCGAAAAATATCAATTGGAATAGAAAAAAAGATTATTAAACAATTCAAACATTTCATTTTTTATTTAAACCTTTTTGTCATACTGTAAAACTGTGCCACTTTTCAAATTAATTTGGCATGCAATAGCGAAGGAGATTAAACTCCCACAAAGAGCCCTTAAGAAAACCTTATGAATGCACCCCTGAGAACTACAGGAGTATAAATCTTATACATAATTTATAAACCCAACAGAATCGATTTAGCATATTTAGGGTGGGTGTATGGAAATCAAGTTCCCCAAAGAAGTATACTTTATCGGTTTAACTTGGTTAAAAGAGCACCTTGTGATGGCTTAAAAACAGACATCATGTTAAGTGAGGCTTTTGTTAAAAAGCAAACTTGCTAGAAGCAGCTAGTAGTAAAAAAAAAAAAAAAAAATGGCACATTTTTTTGCTTCATAAATTATGCAGGGTAATTCTACACCCCAACCGCCATCCGCCCGCCCTCTGCGTCAACCTGACAGAAGCTGTGAGATTATAACATATGTATGATTCTGACAACATTCAAACTACATAATAATCAGTAGTCATGCTCCTTGTTAGGCTCTTAGCGCGTTCAGAGATTCGATATTTATTAAGCAACAATTCAATTTGTTTCCCGGAGGCTTGTAAGGTTCAATAACTGGAGACACAGGTGCAAAACAGAGATCTGATTTTTTTATTGAAAAACCGTCATTCTATAAAGTGATAATGTCGTGAGTCATAAATTTCATATCACTTCAGGCTTCTAAGATAATCGTGGCTGACATAATGGACTAGACGAATGTTCTTTATTTCGAAAGATGATACTATAAAGCGTGGAATTGCGCGACGCGTGCCGAAGGTCATTTGATTAAATCGGAATTCAAGTTAGAGAAAACCTTGTTAGGGATTCGATTTGTCTCTTCATTGTCGCTGCATTTGCAGACAAACTAATAAAAGCCCGTAGGATATTCGTGCCAAATGACAGCGACCTATGCAAACTGTCAATCACGGCCATGACCTACAATTATTAGTAAAACGTAGGACTGAGATTCGTTTCTGTCTGTTCAGAAGGTGAAGCTACATCAAATAGATGCGGGCATGATATTTTAAAGACTTCCGTAATCATTTAGCTATTCCTCAACTCGTATACACATTGTTTATATAAGGGAAGGGGGCATGCCCCCGTGCCCTCATGACCAATGAAAGTGCAAATATATACTTATTACAAATAAGGAGAAGTGAAAACAATATGGAAAAATTATTCAACTTAGTACGACAGGTGCTCCTCATGACACCTGTGCCCCCTCCATAGCGTTACCCATGCCATGCCACTACATACTTATACAGTTTTTTCAGATGAAAATCAACCATGATGAAATACCCCGAATACCCAATCAAATGATATATTGCATATTCATTTTGCCAGAAAGGACCGGAAAATTTGCCTATTTATCTCTTTTCATGATGATATTAGGAATCTTCTTGATGACTTTATGAACCATCACCTGCATGAAGCCAAGAGGCAAATGAAAAGAGCAATGTCAACTATGATGACGGATTTGGCACGTACATGAACATTAAGGGCTTGGAGCTTTAATGGGGACATGTAAGAACATCTCGTTCTTAAGGAATGGTTACAATTCGAAAAGACACTACAAGACTCCGACTTTTTAAAGGTACTAAGTCGCATTTGCATGCCAACAAATGAAAGGTTAAATTCCAACAGCATTTGAAAGATAATACTAGGACACGGCTAACGTTTAATTTCTGTACAATTCTACAGAATTCGATGTTGGCCGCAAAAGGGATACACCACCTTTAAAGGAACCCAAAATGTGGTGAAGTACACGAAATTCAAAATGTTATCATGATTCACAAGAGACGACTACAATGACGTACTCACCTCACTTTTGAAGATTTATGTGACAAGTGTTACATGTTTTGAAAAGTAAAGTATCTTTATTCATTTAACATTTGCATTTTTTCCTACTGAATTCATTTCAAACTCTTGCATTAGACCGCTGAGTTTCCCTCTTCCGTCAAATACAACCTACCTTTTCCCCTTCAAAACCTCAATTTGAGTTACGAGACAAAATCAATACGGTAATGTTTTCTCTTAGCCAATACTGTCCTAGGAGACTGGGTTTCCTGAACTGAAAATGCCCAAGCAATTACATCTCTCCATATTTTATCGTCTTTTTTTTAGGACCGGATAGGTTTAAGTTACGCTCTCCTTTTTAGACCTAACCAGTATAATGGTTCGTTGAAAGAGGTCAATGCATTAAAGGGAGTCTGACCGTTACTAGGGGACAGTATGTCCCCTAAAGCCGTCGGTCCTCTGGTTGCTTACTATCAAGCATTTATGCTTTCTTGAATAACCACCACTAAAATTAAAGATTATGGGGCAAGCAGAGAAGGGAATGATGACATACCTGCAAGCTTCCTTTAGGGCAATACTCTGTCATGATGCTGATGTTGGGTGCGTCGATGCATGCTCCAATGAACTTGATCACATGATCATGCTGAAGATCGCGGACCTGTAGTAGAGCGGAAAGGATATAAGAGGAGATAATATTACAACACCTAATAATAGATTGTGTCCCTTGAGCGGTACAAGGAGAGACAAACAGAATGCTAAACATGCTAAATTGTCTTTGTCTTTACAGTTACTCTGTCGGTAGCGGTAGTGTATTGTTTCCGGTTGCTTAAGGTCACATCCATTGGAAAGGAGTCTTTGAACAGGGTCCTTGGCATGTTCGGGACCTAGATATCTAGAGTATATAGCCACAAAATGTGTGTGAATAGGATATATAATTACGAAAGATATGAGGTTCATGGAAAAAAAAAAACAGTGGTATGGAGTGTCAACAAAGACTTTGCAAAGGAACGCATTCACCAAGGACGTTTGTATGACATCGATGATGATTTATGATTCCATATGGGTTAATCATGTTAATGTAAACTACTTCTAAGATCATCATCTTGTGGACAGTGATATACGCAGGATATGAACATAATACATTTATTGATTGCTAGCCTACTTTATTACCTTTAGATGTGAGTGAAGATGAAAACAACCCTTTCCATGTTCATTCTTTAGGAAAACAGAAAGCTTACAACACGTGTATAATATTGGCTTTCGTGATTCTTCTGAAGGCTATTCTAACAGAACAAAATACAACATGTACAATAAAGAAAATACAGTTGCTCTCTTGCTTTGTGTGTTACCCGGTCAATAGTTTTCTCAACATTAACAACTGGTCACTCCATTTCGACAAGGAAAAAAAACTATGGATAACAATTATTCATTATATAAAGAAAAACCTCAAGACTGCTTTTGTTTCTAGATTCTGAGCGCTCCATTATTATAGAGCTGAGAATGAGAGGTCACGGAGAAACACGGGTGAGAATCTCTCATTTACTTGGGATACTAGAGACACAGAAACTCGCCTTCGGTTACCCGAGTCATTATCGATTGGTGGTCTTATTCGAAATCAGAGCACTTGTCTGCGCTGTTTAGATGACGAAGAAGAAAAAAACCGGAGCAAGTTAATGAAAGTGCGGAGTATCGCTGAATAAAATCGGAGACATACCAACCTAAACAAACTCCATGCGTTTTCTCATCGATTTCATTCTTCTTAAATCACAAGGCTACGTGGCTCTTTATTTTTTCACCACTTATAAAGCTGACTCGGTCAAGCAAAATGGTTGACGGTCAAGTCATATTGCTTTGGATTTAATGAGCAAGTCAAATTATATACAAAAGATTTCACCTCGGTTTTGATATGCTAAACAAACCATTCGCCCTTCCTCTCTGCTCGAAACATATACCAAAACAACTCAGTATTGCTCTCATCATATCCCAGACTCTACATCATCATGGGAAAGAGAGAATCTTGCTATACTCTGTGGCATGAGTCAACCACAAATGAGGTGAATATTGCCACCTCGCTTCCAATTTGAGACGATGCATTATCCTCAAGATCATTATCTGTCAATAGTGTTTGGCGTGTTAAACCGCATTGTAAATCTCAGTGAATATCTGAGGCCATTGGCAAGCACCATGAAGGATGCAAAACATATCGACATTTTCGCCGAGACGAGAAACTTGAGTTCATCCAAACCTCACAAAATCATTTTGATAAAGGATCTACCGAGGATGACCCACTACGTGGCAGTATACAAAGGGCCTTTCTGCAAAAATCAATTTCATTCGCGAATTTGGCAATCGAAATATTAGGGATGAGTTGGGAAACTTGAAAGAATAATAAACCTTAAGAAGATATGCAGCTGTTTTTTAATAGGTTGAAAATCGTGATAGTCTTTTCATTATTCGAAGTAATCAACAGATTTTATATCGACGATAAAAAACGTACGCTAAATTGTGACAGGGGCAGATATCTCTTCCCAAAAGACCATTATGAATAAATTTAATCTGTTAATCCTTTTTTCGAATCCTGGATCTCCAATTTTTAAATATCTGCATAAACATGTCGTTTTGCAAAACAGACGAAATCAGAAGATATAGATTAGGCTTCATTAAAGGGACTTTGTAACATTGTTCAGATGAGAGATAGTGGTGCTAAGGCATTGACTTCAATGCTAGATGTACAATTAAAGATAATCTGAAAATTTGAGCGAAAACGGACCAATATTCATGGTACAAATGGGGAAAAACTGATCCGATCGATTCCTTAATTCTCCCAACTATATTATTACAATTTAATGACATTTTAGGTGAATGGAAATCCCACAAAGCAATAAAATGGCTCTACATTCCATTCCAGACGCTTTAGTGTTGACACATTTTTTTATAGCCTGTTTTAATGTCTTTTTTTCATGGAAAAACGGTTGGGGAAATTCAAAAAATGGTTGGGAGAATTTAAATTCAGAAGCGCCGCACATCGATGCCCGTTCGAAAACCCGTTGAACTTTGTTAAAAATCTTCATATTGCGTGAATTAATTTCGGATTTGGGGCATCGTAGTTGGATAATCCATACATACAAACATAATTTTACGTGTTTTGCATCCTGATTCAACAGATTTGTGAAATCAACCATCACAATGTTACTAAGTACCTTTAACTAGCACTTGTTGGTATGTAGATCTCCGTTGTTCGTTTACCAAACAAGACAGATTCATTATAACTTAGGAGGAGGGGGGCGAAAACTTAATCCGGAGTCTTCCAACTTATTGCATTAATTAATTGCTAACCTGTCATAAATGTTAACAATTCATTAAAAATCATAGAGTCTCCTTTTGTGATTTTGTGCGAAGCGGGTAAACATCATTTCTTTCATTTATTCATTATCTCATTTAAAATCTATTGATGATAACCTTGTGTTTCTTTGTGATTACAAGAATCAGAGTTAAACACGAAATAAATCACATGTTGGCGCTGATGCTGCTGAGGATCGTACGAAACGGGTATTACAGAAATGCAAACTAGAGCATTCAACTTCATGCTTTGAATGGAATAACCACAGGAAATAATAATAATAATGACAATAATAAAACATAAGACCATGTACTTTTCTGTATGTACCATGACCTCTCTGATTTCGGCATCGTATTAAAGACAGTGGCTATAAACATGTTCTTTTTGAATAACGATTGAATTGAGACCATGTCAAACCTAACTTGAATTTAATGGAGGATAAGTATTGGATAATCATTCTGCTATATAGACCTCTGTCTACTTTGATGAGATTTAATGGGTCCCTAGGGGCAAATATTCTCTAGGTACACAGGGAAACAGAGCATAGAGTGATTATCTCAGCTAAAATTGAAAACAAAGTATGCGCCTGTTTTGTATGTACGTGGGTGCACGTTAGAAGGTAATTCCTGTGTTGGGTTAAATCATTCATGTTGGAAACAGAGTTTAACTTTAGTAGATGCACTAATTTAGAACTCGCCGGCCTCGATCTCGCCATTCTAATCAAACGAAATTGAGAGCATGAATGATTTGGAGGAAGTAATTTTTTGTACTAGGAAGGATGATGTTTTTGTGTTTATAGGCCACTTATGTCGGGCGCGCCTAATCATGGAAATGGTTGCAAAGTTTGTATAGTGTTACAGTGCATGATAAGGTTATTCATGAAAGTGATTCTTGTCATCAAAATAACATGGCTTGCTTTCGGGTAAGAATGTGAATAATTGCGACATCAATATATTAAATCAATTTACACTTACGTTATACAGCCAAACTTTTCCGAACATTTAATAAACAAGTCAAAGTTTACTATTTATATTATTAAAAGAAAACCGAGAAGCAGCTTCATACCATGATTTTGGACTAGGGGTGACGTAATCGATTCGGGCTGCCAGAGGCTCCTACGACACCCCACCAAAAAAAAAAATCAGAAATGAGCGAGGTATATCTAGCTTGACACCCCCTGTCTAGATACAGTCGGGTTTCCAATTACATATGACCCCCCTTCAGCATCCAAACGGGCACGGGGACAAAAGTCACGATCGAAATATTTAGAGCAGGAGCATTAAGAAGTCAGAATGCCGCCAGACCCGAATGCCGTTCGGAAGGTTATTGTTTCTGATTGTTTCTCCACTTTATTTCACTCACAGCACCAGTCATCACTTCTGAATGCAAAGGCACTAAATCGATTCCCAGCGCCACTCTTCTTTTCTTGCCCCTTTTTTCATCCACTTTCTCCCCCATCTCGTGTTCTATTAAATGCTTGCCACTAAATATAAAAGTTTCCCTTGGAACAATGCAGGCATGCATGGCCACGGGATGAATTTTCGGGGGTAATTACTAAGGAGCAAAGGTTTGATTTTGATGATAGAGAAGGCAGGGATCATCAAACTAAAAAAGATGGCACGCCATTCATGCATATGTAACGTCATAAAGACTGGAATAAAGAAAGTATTATTTTGGTAGTTACTCACGTGTTTGATTTCCATTAGTACATTCCTGTTGAGCTCGACCCGCTGGCGATTCACTCGCTTGATTGCAATCACGTTACCCTGTAGCATTCACAAATAGAAAATCGAAACAACCAACAAGAAAAAATATTAGAGACGATGAGGCGAATACTAGGTCAGAAAAAAGGATGATAGAAAGGAGCGGAAAATTGAAATACAAAAAAAATATATAACGAAAATGAGTTCCATTATCTTCAATTATGAAAACACGGGGGACAAATATGGACGGTCTAGGCGTACTCCAGAGTGATTTGGTGTCATTTTCTTGGCTCTGATTTGCGCCATTATGATGAATGATGCATGTAGATTTTTTTTGTCTCGTTTTTAAAAGACAGGCAGAATTGGCTGATTTGGGGAATACAACTCTGCTCCGGTGAATATTTATGTTACATCGGTACGAATTGTGACAGATCCATCACGCTGCTCTCTAAAATGGCAAACTATTTCAGGGATAAGTCACTCGTGTAATCTCTTTAAAGGGTATTGGCACAGAAAATATGAAATGGAGTGTGCTGTACAAAAGGCTTATTTTACACTTGAAAACCGACTTATATAACGAGAACATAACTATGGCATTTACTGTTTTATCATGCCGTTTACGTCATTTTTGTCAAAAGTTAGAAATTAGTCAGAAAAGTAGAAAGTTATGAAACGGCAGGAGGCATTATGAAAGGAAACAATGCTTATGATATCGATTTGTTAGCACCTTTCAAAATACATAATTAAAAATTGTTCCTATGTTTCATCCTAATGTGTTTTCTTTTCTGCCTGCTATGGTTAATAGAAAAATGTCGAATAGGAACGTGAACACATAAAACCTACATGAGCATCCTTTTTATAAATATTATCTTCCAACGCACCTTTGCTTTATAGCATCCGTTACTTTTTGTAACAAACACAAATAAAGATTAGTGGTTATTTTATATTAAAGGCATGAGTAATCTTTAACTGCAGCTAAAAACTGTTTTTCTCTTTAATTCATACATTGTAATTCACATAAAAAAAACAATGATTAAAGGACGAGACAATTTTGCTTTTCATTCATAATCCTAGAATGAGGGATTGTAAATTGTAATAGCTGATGTATTAGGTACTTAATACCACTTTCGGACTTATAGCTACATTTGCGCACATTGTTTTGGGTAAACATAATTTAAACCATCTGGTCGTTCTCAGTCATTTCTCTGTTTGGTTTCCACCATCAAGTTTTGATAGATGGTGGCAGAGTAACCCATATTTATAATTTCAAAAGGCAAGTATAAAGGGAGAAGAAACCGAGGTACAAAAAATGCAGTATATGATTTCTAATACCAAAATTGCATTCCAGCAGAAACTATCGTTTTAGAAATCATGCAGAAAATAGGAATCCTAATAGTTATATTTTCATTTTGAATCATGGAACCGCTGGGATCGAAATTTCGCCGTGTATTTTCATTTTACAAGTTTAAACATGTACAGACTTATTAATATTGTTTTATGAGAATGTCCATCAATGATTGGGGTAACGACATCATGCCGTTAATAAGGCTTTATGGTTGTTCTTAACTTGAAAATTTTAAGCCGCCGAGTACAATTATGAAAAGAAATATTTTCATAATTGCATGAATGTTCCGTCTATTGTAAAGTGCATGTAATTGCTTTCCTATCTGACCATGATGACGAAAACGTGAAAATACAACCCCTATAACTTAATTATTCACCTGCACCCAACGGACTCATGTTTTATTGGACAGACATCATGAAGCGAGAGATTTATATACATGTAATAAACTGAACGCTTACATAGGGCAGCATGAGAGCCCACTCGTATTTGTATTTACATTCCTAGAATGTAAAATCGTTTCGGTCTAATATCTCGACCCAATTAAGCATTTCTTTATTGCTTCAGACAGCCGACATGATTAACAGGCACGCATGAATTTAAGCTTCCTTCCGCCGTTTGCCACGAGCGACGCGGATACGAAGGCGACACGTTAGATGACAACTGCGAAACACAAGCAGCGGCCAATTCTCATTAAAACGTCTTCATTAAGACAACCTTCATATTTCGTGGCGGGCAAGTCAATTTTCCATGTAAACAAGGGAATTAGCAACGGTTTGGGGAAGTATACACATTGCTTGTTTGACGGGCCGGCGGACACATGCGTGGCATTATAAAGTAAACATTGCATGTCTGGACGCGTGTCACGTACGTTTAAGACGAAAAAACAGAGAAAGACCTCAATTTGTTTTCTAATATCAGATTAGGGTTTGTTCTATGCGGCTTGCAAGATTGGCGTTTTGATAGTGCAAAAAGTGCAACAGAAGTTGGGAAAATATGAATCTGGTTCTTTTAAAATGATGTGTAGGATATTTTAGACCCTCTTCCTTCTTACAATGCATCACACATTCATTTGTTGCATGTCCAATGCTATATGTCGTATTTCTGACACTTTAAACATTTTACATTCCAGCTTGATTTACACAATAACAATGTCATATTTTGTTTATTCTTTCGATATTTAGGGATAATAGTTTCATATCTTCTGCTGATTATGTTTTTCACACGAATTTACTTTCACAAATTTAATTTCAAAGATAAATATGTCCCATTGTTCATGATCTAGTTCGATATGTCTTACAGTACCATCACCCAGAAGCTCGTCAAAGACATGACCTGGACTATTTACCCGAATTCAAATCCAATCATTGCAGACACTCACATTGTTAAAGCAGGATATATTATAAACGTTTGGAGCGTGTCTATGAACCCAACCTACCTTATAGAATCCGGTCACTGTGAAGATCTGCTGGTTATTCCCCCACACACTGGTACCCGACTCGACTGACCCCTGTAGAGGAGGCAGAGATGGAGAGAGAGAGGGAAGAAGATGGAGGGAGGGAGAGATAAAGGAGGGGAGAGATAAAGAAAGAGAGGAATGGGGGCGTTGGGAGAGAGAGGAGAAACAAGAGGCGGAAGAAAAAGAGAAATGAGAAAGAATTATTAGACAAATTAGCAAACTGACCCCTATTAAGTGGTGTTCGAATGGCTGTTGATTTAAACGGTATAGGTTTTAAGTTCTTGCCAAGCACTTTTCAAAATAGCCTTAAGATTCTCAGTCGTTTGGCTGAAAGAAAACTGGGGTGAGTGGGCACAAAGGTTGCGAAATACATGTAAACATCAATATAACGTGTTGCACTATGTGAATTCATGAAAAAAGGTCTTACAGGGTAAACTTTGAAATGTGCAAAAAAGAATAGGGAAAATATTTACAAATTAATCGATGAAATTTTAGACATTAGGGAATTAATCGTTAAAGCGAAACACAAGCAACAAGTAGTATATAGGAACATTAAATTCTAACATTAAAACAGCTCGGTAAATGGGTTTCTCATCCATACATCCATCCTTACATCCACCCATCCATCTTTTCATCCATTCATCCATCATATTCGCATTGCCTCTTCTTTTTGTTTCAATCAACATTATTCAAATAATCGTCTAATTCTAATCCGTCACTATCTTTTTATTTCTTGCCTATCCAATTTGTGACATAAAATACAATTTCCTTTATAATATCGGGTCTTTTAGCTTTCTCTCCTATCCACATCTCTTTTTTGCGTTTGTCTATACTCCTACATTATTTAATTTCATCATCGTCCTCCCTCTTTCACCTCATCTCTCTCAAAACATAATACTGTATACTTATGTTCCGGTATAATTTTCAACTTCTATATTATTCTCTTTCTCCTTCTCCTGCTTCATCAAATCATATTAATTTCATCACCTGAGGCATCACAAAATAAACGAGATTACATCAAGGAAGCACCCCCTCCCACCTCCCTAGGCGCCCATAAAAAAAATCAACCCTTCATCAGAACACAATATTCCTTTTCACTTTGTTGGCGCGTGGTTATTCCTCAAAATGAAGGGTGAGGCCAAAATAATTTCAAATGCTATTTCTTTGAAGTTTTGCATAACAATTATTATTCCAGAAAGACATTTTTTTTCTCCAAAGGATTATCAAGATAACCCCAGTCCCGATTACTTCGGCGATGTCGAGATATTTCTATTATAAAATTCATCCAAGTGAATTTCAATTTTAATAATTGTCAAAATTATGGACGAGTGTATGAATCTATTCGATTACTTAAGAGCTTATTTTTTATTTTCTCCTCTAAAAGTCAGACACAATATTGTGCGGGATTCTTCCTACGGGAAGTTTAATGGAGCTTTGATAATGCTTTGCTCCTTCCTTTTCCTAAATCGTAACCATGCTTGAAAACACCGCGCCTAAAGCGGAAGCATCTTTGAAAAGGAATCGCAATTTCGTTGCGCTTTTGAAGTTGAATGGCGTAGGACAGTCAACGTCTAAATAAGATCCTTTAAGAATGTATAGTATTTTCTTCTGCTTTCTTTACTTTTGTATCTTCTAGAAATCCTTGTAAGATCTAAAAGCCTGAAGCGCCCTTGTACTGCATCAACGACTTAAGCACAAGTGGGCTTGTAGCGGACCACTTTCTCCCCTTCAAACAAATGCAAACTTGACACAGAATCGCCGAAAAGGCCGCTTACGACATATTGTAAGGGCCAAAAGCCAGGAATAACCAAAATACGTTAAAAAATGTTATTAATCTAGTGCTTCTCATACGGTGGAAACGAAAGTCAAAAGATTCCGTTTATCGCGATGCCATAGCACAGCTCAAACACTATCGTTGCATGTATGTTAGATGAAGTTCTCTTAGAGAGCCCCCAAGAGAGTCATAATCCGTTTTAATCTGTGTTCCTGAAATATTATTGTTAGAACTCTAGAAGGTGCCTATATAGCACTTTAGAAGTCGATAATCTATACAATCTGTATGACGATCATATAGTTTGGTCTAATAATATATCTTTTCATTATATAGCATGTCATTACCATTATTGTTTTTATCAGCATTTCCTAATCATTCTTATATCTTATATGCATTACTATATCGGTATTTATTTGTTGTTTTTGTTGTTATTCTATTTATTGCCTTTATACTACTAAACTAGTTCATAAGATACTCCACAATGCTCGCTCTTCTTAAAGGCAAATACAAAAACAAGGCAAAACAAACAAGAGTCGGAAATACGTTTTCACGCGCTAAACATTGTGGGAAACCTGGCAGGCAACTTCAGAGAACTGTGTTATGAAAATAGATAAAAAGACGCAAGGCATAATTTCAGATGGGGTGAAAAGGAAAAGAGAAAGACATTTCGATATGATCTTGCCTGGGAGGAATACCAAGAACAAATAATCAGTTTCAAGCACAAGTGCTACTTTAACAGGCATTTGCGATATTACGTGCATGGTCACGTGACTCTTCCACCCCCTCGATCTATTTGATCAAAACCTCGGTAAGCATGACAAGCACTACGACAAGGACTTTGACTAATATCACCGACATCGAGAGACGAATACTGCCCAGGTATTTGAATACAAATGTGTGAAGGGCATTTGGGGTTGAGGTAGATGGTACGAGAGTGAGGTTTGTCTGTCGGTTGAATTTCATTATCATATGCACAATCTGATCAGTGAAGGATTAGTTGCACTGAGAATGCTCCACTCAAACAGGTACAACCAGAAAACCCCTTCCAGGCTACATACAGGCCTCCTTTATGTTCCGGTCCCTTGGCAATTTACAGGACATTATACACCAAACCAATCGTTTAATCATAGGTGCATGACCGACCGGTTTTGATCTCTCTGCTAGGCAGGATTAGGGGAATCATGTGTCTGTGAAGAAGCAGGATTAAAAAACGAACACGTTTGCAATAAGATTTTCGAGAAACCCACTTAGTAGGAAATTTCAATACCCGATTTTGCATCCCATAAACAATAACGTTCGGATTACGTCAAACCTTATTATGATGTTCGCACATCAGTAAGGGACAAGGCTATATTAAAATTGCTTTGGGTGGATTTTTTTTCTCGAGAGTCATCGTGATCGTGTTACGGATGAGATTCGATTTTTTTTGCTTTGTTGTAAGCCCGTTGTAAGTATCATTAAAGTGAAAATTTAGCAAGCTGTCGGTTGAAAAAACAATTCGGATCTCTTCAAAAATCTCTCTATATTATGACTTTGTTGAGACAATAACAGATTCAAGAGGCTGAAACCCTACTTTAGGTCTAATCCCTTATTGTGTCAAAGAAGGGCCACAGTGCGAATGTGCAGAAAAGGGAGTAATCCATGGGGGGGGGGGGGGGATTTAAAACAAATTTGTTGCCTTCACGTTGCTCCGAGTCTCGGCAGATTTACAATTGTGTTTATGAAAATAGATCTGGATGGCAAATTAGCTTCGTTATCGACGGCTGACATAGAATGGTTTCGACCAACGTAATCAGATCCATGAACCATTAATGACATTCCAGAAAACTTCCGCTGTTTTGATTGATTGTAATTCTCGTCTGTCTCTACTTGAATCTTCATACTAACAATAAATTGCAAGGTTGCGTTTCCAAACGCCAGATGTGGAATTCGAGGTATTTTTTTACCGTAACACAAGACGTTAAAACGAGAATCGGAGGTAAAGACATATTGCTAATGATGAGTAATAATTTACAACTGGATTGCCGTCTAGAGTGCTGAAAGTAGAAGGTATTTCGAATGGAATTCTATCTCGAAAAACAAACTGTATCTTTCATATTCTTAGGCAAAACTTTTAAGATGATTATTTATTACTTCGTGGTAAATGTTAAAATTTGGGTAAGCTCCCCCCCCCCCCGCAACCTGCCCTTTGTATAAGACCTTTTTTTTTTAGTTGAAAATAGCAGGGTATTTATCATCATGACACCTAATAATGAAGGTCCCTTGGCAAAATAATGTCTTAATTGCCTCGTGTTTTTTAGCTCTATTTTGTAACTCCTTTAACATCTTAATTGAAAGGATTTCGAGTAGATAGCTTTTGGCAAGTTGTTATTCTCTCAGAGGTGAACATAATCACACTTTAATTCGATACAGTTCGGACTTTTTTGTGTTCCCTCTTTTAACGTCTCTGTTCCGGAAAATGTCGTTGATGAAGCTGTTCACGATGATCATAACCCGACTGCACATTACTGTTTTAATTATAACATTCCGCGTTTATATAGCGCTTTATACATCGATGATGTCTCTAAGCGCTTAACGGATACACTGTTTTAGGTTTATATACAACTTTCTCCAAGATAAATACCTTCTTTTAACCATACCCTTCTCTCCATAAATACATAATTATCCATCCAAACGATCTGACTAGAATTACTCCAATGAAAGAGCAGGGGGTGGGGGGGGGGTTCTCTTCCTGAGTCAAAGTTTGTAAAGATAGCTCTGTAGTTCTACAAATTTCTTTTTCAATCATCGACAAATGTAATTCTAAATCCTGTGTTTGCATCGAGCAATTACTTTAAAGTGGGTCAATAATGTGAAGTAGTGGTTGATTAGGGTTAAGGGAAAGCAGCCTGTCTACTTAACTTCAGACTTTCACAAAAACCAAATTTAAAAAGAATTCAACGTTCACCAACCATACATGAAAGAGAGAGAAAGATGTGGGAGAGAGGGGGGTAGAAACAGAAAGAAAGAGAGAGAGAGAGAGAGAGAGAGAGAGAGAGAGAGAGAGAGGGTGGAGGGAGAGAGACAGAGAGAGAGAAAGAGAAAGAGAGAAAGAGGGAGAGAGAGATAATACCCTGACGCATTATGCAAACATGGCGGTTATCTCATCTCAATTAGGCCATCGACTTTTGGCGGCGTCCATTAATGATCAAATGTTCATAAATGCAATAATAATTGTGTAATTGCCCACTTCAAACAAGTCGACTCTATTGTTATGACTACTCTCTATCAATGACAG